AATTGATAAGAAAGTGGTATATTGGATACGCGAAAATTTGTCTCTCCGTAAACAATATGTTGTGCTAAATGGTTGCCAGTCCGAATTTGCTGACGTGACATCAGGAGTCCCGCAAGGGTCCGTCCTTGGGCCGCTGTTGTTTATGCTGTACTTGAATGATATCGTGGGTGTTGTGTCATCACCAATGCGTCTCTTTGCAGACGATTGTGTTGTTTATCGAAAAATACGAGCGAGTGATGACGTCAACATTCTACAGGCAGACATAAACGCAATTACCGATTGGTGCAAACTGTGGGAAATGAATATTAATTTTAAGAAAACTGTCCACATCCCATTTACGAGACGGCGTGTTCCGTCCCTCAGTACTTATACCATTAATGACGAGCCACTCACTGTTGCCTACGAATACAAATATCTTGGTGTATTCCTAACCTCGACCCTAAGTTGGAATAAGCACATTGACTATACTGTCTCTAAAGCCTCGAGAATGCTTGGCTTTCTCGCTCGTAATTTTAAGCCTGTACCATGTTCCTTGAAAGACTTTATTTTTCGCATGTCCGCTCAATTTTAGAATATGCCTGCACTATATGGGATCCTCACACTGCTGTCCAGATAATCAAACTTGAAAAAAGTGAAAGCCGTTAACAACTCCCTGTAACACCGAATTAGAGCGCAGCTCTTGAGGAGGAGGAGGGAAGGGTACTGGGGGGGTGAAGTGACCTGGGGGGGGTCGCGTGACCTTGGGGGGTCACGTGACGATGCCGATGATGTCATCAGTGACGATGACGATGCGGACTCCGATGACGTCATCAGCGATGATGACGATGACGATGCGGATGTCGGTGACGTCATCAGTGACGTGACTGATGACGTCATCTGTTATGATGACAATGACGATGCGGATGCCCCCCCCCCCCCCCCCCCGAAGTCACGTGACACCCCCAGGTCACGTGACCTCCCCGATGACGTCAACGTCACTGATGACGTCACCGGCATCGTCATCATCACTGATGACGTCATCAGTGACGATGACGTCATCGGGGAGGTCACGTGACCTGGGGGTGTCACGTGACTTCGGGGGGGGGGGGGGGGGGCGGGGGTCACGTGACTTTGGGTGTCACGTGACCTTGGGGGCCACGTGACCTTGGGACGACCTTGGTTACGCCGACGCCGACGCCGCTCAAGTTGGGAACGGGCCCCTAAGAGCTGCGCTCTAAAAGTACAAAACCGGGCTGCCCGTTTTGTTTTAAACAATTACGACAGGCGACTTAGTATGACTCGTGCGAAACAGAGCCTAGGATGGAAGGAGTTAAGCTTTAGAAGGAAGAACCTTCGACTGAAATTTTTTAATAACATATTTCACTGTAGGACTGGGATAGATAGAAATGCCTACCTTCACCCGCCAGATTACATATCGCAACGAAAGGATCATGTGTATAAGGTCAAGGAATTCCGCTGTAAAGGTGACGTCTATATGAACTCTTTTTTTCCTAAAACAATACGGGATTGGAACGGTTTGCCAGCCTCGGTGGTCAACATTGTTCCTAATGATGCGTTTTATTCAACACTAACCTCGTAGTGTCTAGTTAGTGGTTGAGTAACGTTCGAAGTGTTTAGTAGACCGCATTTTTGTTTTTTATGTAGCCTGCACTTTGTTGTGATACTGAGAGGTTTATGGCTTGTGAATATTGCTCTTTTAACTTTTGTATAACTATTCGTGTTCTTCATTTCCAACTTCTCTCCCCCCCCCCCCCCTACTGTAATGCCCCATGGCGCTGTAGGTATCTGAATAAATAAAAAATAAAAAAAATAAAAAATTGGTTTTGACTCAACAGTTGGCTGCCAGTGGGTCTATACCTTTCCTCGACCCCGTCTTCATTTTTTAGAAGAGGATGTTTGCTGGTCGTTGGAACCTCGTGGACTAATGCCACTTTTATGTTACCAATCCGCCCATTCCAAATTGGTAAAAAGGGGCATCGTTAGTTTGTGCTTTATGAATGCCCTGAAGAAATCCTGCTTCCATCAAGCACAGGTGAGCTTTGACGCCCAATGGCAAAAATAATCCCTGGAGAAGGGGGACAAAGGACAGACACAAATCTCCAAACACAGCTAGGCGACTGGTGCGTGACCAATAAAATTTGCCTGGTCTGGATATTAAACCCAGGACCTCTCCATTTCTAGTGGAGCGCTCTACCAACTGAGCTAACCAGGGGTTAGACGTCACTAGAGCAAACAGGTTTTATCAGCTGCCACAGGTCTAACACCAACAAGGGTTAAAGGCTTGCATTTTAAAGTTAGCCCAGTTGGTAGAACGCTTCACTGGAAATGGATAGGTCCCGGGTTCGATATCCGGACCAGGCGGGTTTTTTCGGTCACGCACCAGTCATCTAGCTGTGTTTGGAGATTTGTGTTTGTCCTTTGTCCCAGTTGTTCCTCTTCTCCAGGGATTATTTTCGCCATTCTTGTCCAGCTCGCTTGCACCTTTGCATTTAACTGCATTATAATCATTTGACGCTCAAGCTTCCCGCCTTCGGTCAGCGGATTATTCGGAACACCTACATCGGTTGCGGGCACTTTGTTGAAGAAAATTAAATTATTAGGCGGTGTCAATGTGGAAAACACCCTAAAGAAAAAAGAAACAAAGTTGCTGTAGCCCCGTGTATACATAGAGTTTCCCATGGTTTAAAAAATAGGAACGTGGGTAGACGTCACTGTGGTCTTCTCCACCCTGAAAAAGGTGTCTAAGATTTGCAGAAATGTCAGTCTACCAGGAGGCCTCTGGAGTGTATGAAGAAGCATCAAAATCGGTTTGTTGCTTGCACAGAAAAGGTTGTTTATTCCATTCCACTCTCCTGTGCTAAACAATACGTAGGCCAAATGGGCAGATGCCTCAATGGTAAGTTAGGAGAACATTGTTACGATGTAAACAGGGTAATATCAGGACACTTGGCATTCATTATAGTGACTGTGGGTGTGATGCAGACTTTTAAAAAATGCACTGTCATTAGAAGAAGTGCCAATGCCCTGACTGGTTAGATTACCTTTCACAACAGCATGTGCGATGGTAGTGTGGGTTTAAGTGGGAAGTCATTGGCTGTGTGTGCTTTCTTTAGTTTGGTCGTGTATATAGGCTGCACCTTTCCAATTAAAACTTCAGTTGTAAGTTCAGGAACTGTCTCCTTCTGTCCCGTCTGTTTCGCTGTGTATTCTATGAAGCACTTATGTTCCGAAGCACAGAGTCTCGATGGCGTTTGAGCTCTGCTCTATGCAGAGCTCAACATTGGGAGAGTCTAGCCAGTGGATGTGGAGACAAAGGCACTGGAGAGGAGAAAAGTGAAGGAAAGGGAGAAGAGTGCCCATGGATCGGGAAAGAAAAAAGGGAGCAAAGAGGAAACAACCGCCATTTTGACACAACGCAGTCGGCGCAGAGCACTGTTGAGGCTATGTTTCGTCTGCAACGGGCTTATTTCTTTTTCGCCTGAATCAAAGTTTGTGTTCAAACCTATATAAGCTTCATTCGTTAGCTTCTTAAACCACCGAGGAATAACACTACATAATTTTCTTGCCAGAGCCTGCCAAATAAAAGGAAAGAACCAAAATTGGGATGTTGATCCTATGCATTCTGCCGGGCGAATGAACGAAATGGCAGCTTTCCCCGCTCAGCTCAGAGCAGCCTGGAGTTCACGCGCATGCGCTTACGCCTCCCGCTCTGCGCAGCAGACTGATTGGCTCACTCGGGAGGGGGGCGTTATGGCGGCAAGATTATAGACTGATCAAACCCTCCCTACATACGGCACTGGCTCTATGGAACCGTTATAAAATGAAAATCTAGATGGCGCTTCAAACGACGGAAGGCGGACTGAAGTGAGTGAGGGGGAGGTACCCCTTCCGCGGGAGTTCCACAACCGACTTAATCTAGTAATGTTGCAACACCAAGTCATGTTATGTCATTTTCCCCGCTAAATTCAGCGGGAAAATGAATTGGTATTGAGGTCACGTGACGTTAATTTTCCCGCTAAATTTAGCACAATAACACCGACGCTGACGCCGATCAACCCGGTACCGGGTGCCTAAGAGCTGCGTTCTAAAATATACTTTTTGACACTTGACTAAACGGTAGGACTATTTTGCCAGTAGCCGGCACAATAGCCCTGGAAAAAAAAAAATGCCAGCAGTTTCGGACGGCGTGTGCATCACTGGGGAGAGTTTTAATCTCCCTTCCTCCTCCTCCTCCTCCCTCCTCCTCCTCCTCCTCCTCCTCCTCCTCCTCCTCCTCCCTCCCCCGCCTCCGTTCACGCCACTTCGCGGCAACAGCCTGCAGCTGCTCATTAAAAAAATATTAACCCACTCGGCGCACTTGTACACGCCGCTTTGCAGCGGCCCGCCGGCGGCCCAAGCCCCGCTGTCCCCCATTGCACCCCCGAAAGGGAGTCCCATACCATTTAGTTAAGCAACGTTTCGTCCACATTTTTTTTTCTTCTTTTCAGTGATAACTGTAAAAAAGAAACGCATAAAACATTGCCAAATGTGTAAAAAAAAAAAAAAAAAAAAAAAAAAAGAATGTAATCTTTTTAGGTTTGATGCGTGTGAAGCGGACACCTTTCCACTGAGCTACTCTACAGCACGACCAACTCTGCTCTACAGCTTCAAATATTCGTTTTCACAAATCGTTTTATACGAAATCCAATAGGGGACAACTGCCGGCATTTCTTTTCCCGGGTTATTGTGCCAGCAGAATATCCACATCCTATTCGTTTTCCCAAATCGTCTTATACGAGATCCAATAGGAAACAACTGCCGACATTTCTTTTCCCGGGTTGTGTTGGCCGACCGAATATCCACTTCCTTGCTAGCAACCTCGAGACTGGGACGAGAAGGGACGGACAAACACAATGTCTTAACCACCACCTGCCCGTTTGCGCCCTAACCTTTTGTATACTTTTTGACGTACACCCGGTGTCAAGAGATCCCGGGTACGGTGTTTTCAGCCACAAACTCACCGTGTTCCCTCAAAAACACCGCTAGACCGTGTATCCTGTCGCTTCGTGTCGAGCTTGTACTCATGACTTGTGGCCCCGGCGGATCTCACGGCTCACATGCACAACGCCTGTCATCTCCTCCCAGACACAAGAGAAGCGGGGATGACCAGGGATGACCTCTTGGAGTGGGTGGTAATGCGCATCCAACGGCGTTGTTGCCTGGTGTCAGACGACAAGCGCCGCGCCCTGTTTTCGCGTTAGGCCTGCCGAGTGATTTCGTACGCGCACTATCACTCGACGTTGTCGGTGTAATGTATGTCACACATTTTAAAATAAATATGCGAAGAATTGCACGTAACTAAGAGGAGTCGGCTGGTCAGCTGTTAAAATTGTCATGTCCCTCTGTACAAACAAGGCTTGACATCCCTAAAATAATATGGAAGCGCGTTCCAATTGTGGCGCTAGTAACAAAAACAAATACCTTAAAATCTTTAAGATAATAATGATTATTTTAGGTTAAAAAATCACGTAATTTTATGTGTTCTTTATTAAAACAAATTTTAGCTTTCAATATTTAAAAAACTTATATAAAAAATCTAAACATTTTTGGTTTTCGGAACGCGCAGGTACGCGCTCCGCGCGCCAAAAGCACCAAAAGCGCCAAACCCAAACGGCCGGCACATTCGAACTTGGTATGCTCTTGGTACTGGCCATTGTAGGTTTTTAATCTCCAATTTGATTTGTTCTTTTTTTTTATCACAAGTGTATACATTAGTTCCTACACAAGAAACGTGCACATGATGAAGCCAGCGTAAGTGCCGTTGCATTTGTTTCCTTTCAAAACATTCGAACGTTTAGAAGGCCTCCCTCAGAAACGTCAACGGTGTTCGTCGGTTGACGCCGTCGTTCGTAAATTTCTCTCGGCTCTTCAGATTCCCGCGCGTCAATGCCTCTTAAAACTAGGTAGTGAGCTCGAGCGCTCGATTAATTTCTCCTGATCCTCTTACCTCAGGCTAAGTGTTTCTTTTTAGATACGTGACTAAAAGACGAAACAGCAGGCCTCGCGAGCAAGAGCCGGCTGCCCGTGTCAGTTTAGCGCAGCTGCCCTGTGTTTACTGTCTCTAATGGACAAAAAGAAAGAGTTCAAAGGAGCTGGTATTTAGACTTTGTTTGTGCTGTTCTTCTATTTGCCGCAGTGTCGGTGTCCTTTGTGGTTATGTTCAATTTACTGTTTAACTGACGAAAATAAACACTGGAAAAGACACGACGACACATCGATGATGATGTGTCGTCGTGAATAAATGTTGAATGCAGAAAGTTGCACCGAGCCCCCTTGACTTGAGTCGTCTAAGTAACAGATGTTTGTCTGTTTATTTATTTATTTTTTTGTAGAAGGGGCAAGACTCCCAAAAAGAAGGCACCTTGCAAGCCCTCGTCACCCGACAGCCAGGATCCCGTCGAAGTTTACTGTCGAATCAGACCACTGTACAACCCCAACGACGTACCGGTCGTGCGGTTGATCGACAACAAGGTCGTGCAACTTGAACCTTCGGAGGGCAATGTGCAGTCGAGAAACGCTTCGAAACAGGTAAGTCAAGCCCAGTAAAGTCACTACGGCAGTACTCCCCCCCCCCCCCCCCCCCCCCCCCCAACACACAGCCTGCTCTTGTGGCTTGCCGCGACAACCCCCCTCCTCCCCAGTGATGCCACTGGTCGGGCCATCCCGACTTTGGAGTTTGGATACAGCGTGTCTTCCTATTCATATTTCTGGGTTTCTGGATGTCCAGCATCAACCTTTTGTGGTTAACATTCTGTCTTGTGGGCCCCTGCGGTCAATCATTTTACACTACAAGCAATACAATTCCTTAGTTGTCGTAAAATAAAATTCATCATCAAAGCGTCTGTGAAGAATGTTTGAAAGTGCTGGACTGTACAAGGAGTGGAAAAGCGCAAAAAATCTTGGTCTATTTGTTTACAGTGTTTTTGAGAAATCGCAATGTCCGTAAAGCTCCTCATCGCTCTCATTCACAGAACTGTCACCTTCATTCTCTGAGGGTTTATGGCAAACTTTCAGATTCCTCTTCAGGGTGTCTTCTTCGCTAACATCGCCTTCATCATTAGGTACTTGAACAGCTAACATCCTTTTAGTGAAAACCGAACAGAGAAAGAGCTGCAATGATGAACAATGTGTGAATGTGCAAGCAAAATTCCGTTTGTCTAGAACAGGGGTCTCAAACTCATTCAAGTGAAGAAGCCAGATAGCCCCCCCCCCCCCCGGAAGGTTGAACGCCAACGTAAGGGGGGGGGGGGGGGGGAAGGGGGAACAGGCAAGAGAGGGATTAAAGGTTTTATTGGGAAGGTGCCTCGTGCTCTTTGGCCTTTATAAGCTTGCAGTTTGGAAGTGTCAATTCTAGCTTTGATTTGCTTATGTAACTACTTTGGGCCCTTACCTCATATAATAACACAAATTAAAATGTTACCAGCCAGCCACCCTACTTTTACTTCTTTAGTACAAGAGAGTAAGTACTCTGTCATCCCCGTTGCTCAGTTCCCTCGGAAATTATTTTAGCTCAACAAGTGCCGGTTTCGGCTGAAATTTGGGCAGTGTTGCCTGGGATGTGCCTGGAACCCAGTTTAATCGCCAAAAAATATCTGAAATTGCTTTCATTGTCCCTTTAAGTATCCTCCTCTAGGCGTCGTTCTTGACATCATCCTAGACGTCATTCTTGGGGTCTTCCTAGATGTCGTCCTCTAGGCATCGTTCTCGAGGTCGTCCTAGACACCATACTTTGCGTTGATCTCTAGGAAGTCATCCTCTACATCGTCCTAAACTTTAATATGTGTAGAAACATTACACGAAAACATTTCTCTCGCGGGACTATAATGCTTTCGCCTTCCTACACAAAAGCAGTCTTAAGTGTACTCGTGTAATTTTTTGTCCCTTCCTTACTGCATAGCCCTCACGGGCGCTGTGGGGTACCTGAATAAAATATTAAAAATTAAGTGACCCCGTGCGAGCAGTTATAAACTGTAGGCTTCCTGTCCGACAGCGCCGTCTGATGTCTGCGATAGTTCTGAGGTAATCAATCTTTGATATTGATTTTAATGCGGAGAGCAAGTTGCTTGCTTGTTAATAATTGGGGTTGTGTGGATATCTAGACAGTGTGTAGTTGGTCAGCCATTTCAAGGTTGCGACAAATCACTCGCCGTAGATGAGAAATTTAGCCAGTGTGCTACAACTGCTAGCCTGGGGACTTTAATGTGCATCACGCAGTATTGATACATGACCGCACGCCAGTGCGATGTTCATCCAAATGGAAACGGCCAGGGGTGGGGACTAAACCCAGGATCCCTGGGTTCTGTAGCGCAAGCATTCGCTCCACGTGCTCCGAGCTGGTGTGCGTTAGCCCACTCGCCCTCCAATCCCCGTGTTTGCTTCTTGCACAGGAGTTGCGGCGACGTCATAACGACGCTGAGCTCTGAGTTGCTTTGATTGAAAGGATAGTAAGTAGACCTCAATGCTAGATGCCTCAAGGTATACCCACTATTATTTTCAATCGGCCAATAAGAGCTCAGCGTTCTGACATCATCGTAACCCCTGTACAAGAAACAAACAAGCTTGTGCTCCGTATAGAGAAATCAACCACGTGTGAATGTAAATATTTGGTTTTTTAGGATGCTCAGAGCCTGTAGATAGGGACATGACCATAAGTAGACATCGCAAGAAGTGGTTTGCGCCCCTTTAACATTTTCTTCGTGGTCCCCAATTTGCCTGAAAATTTGTTAAACACGCCATCAAACATTGCTGAGATAGTCTCAAATAATAGCCGAAATTTTATTTTTTGCAAAGTTAGTGAATTAACGATTTTCGTCCTCATCATGTTTTTCAAACTGAGTCTCTACTGGCAACAATAAAAAAGTGATGCCAGCAGCAGGCAGGAGTTCACTCTTGGGACTCTAGATTTTGTTCCCAACTAATTGCCAGCAGTTTCATGGTGTCAAATGAATGCCTTGGAAGCTGGCTCCAGCACCCTGCGTAGCAGCACGAAACAAATGCTCGGCATATTTTATTTTTTGGCTGCCTGCTCGATTGGCAAGCCTGCCAGCCACTGATGTTACTGCACTGAAAAGTGCGTGTATACTTGAATGTTAGTTTTGGCATCATTTTAACTTGCTGATTTCACAATAACTACCGTAAAATACCGCGAAAGCGCCCACTTTGTTCAAGCACCCACTATTCACTTTTCCCAAACCTGTGAATTCTGAAAATTTTACGTTAAGCGCCCAATTTGACTGGACAAGCACCCATGTTTTCAGTGAACCCAGTTTTCAGTAAAATCGGGGTGGGCGATCTCCAGTATATTACGGTGTTCTGAATTTCGCAAGACTAAAAAGCGTATCAGAAAGGATAAAGGCCGGTGATTCCTAAAATATTGTTAGTTAGGATAGCTCAGAAAATCGCCAGAGTACCCATTTAACAGTTCAGGACAAGTATAACACGTCTGCTTTCCCCGTTTTGACTCAATAGTTTTGCACAAACCATGCTCGTTCATGGCTTGGCTTGGAGCTCTACCAACAACAGGCAACACTGATTCCTTTTTAAAATTTTGCTCCTATTTTGTTTGTGACTAGAAATATGATATTGAGGGCAACAACTTTGATATTGAAGACAGCAATTTAGTTGTTGAGGGTCAGAAATTCCCAAAAACTAAAAATGATTAAGGAGTTAATGGTGATTCATGTGTGATACAAGCTTCTTTGTGAGCTATTGAAGCAGCCACCCATGTATGCACAGCGCATACAAATCTTTTACGTGCAGTCCTGACACTAGTCATGGGCTTTCTCCAAGTCTGGACTATGGTGTAAACTATCTAAGTTTTTAGTTTTTTTTTTTAGATTGAAATTTACTGGGTGCTGTCTATGGTCTGAACAATACCATACTTACGTTGGGATATACATTGATTTTTCAGTACCAGTACACCTTCAAGTGCGTGTTTGACCCGACTGCCACGCAGCAGGAAGTGTTCGAGCAAATTGGGCTCCCTCTGGTCTATGATCTCCTGCATGGAAGGCCAGGTATGAGGCTCTAGTTGTTTAATCGTTGGAACTTTGTTTTGCTTGTGAAAACGTGACTGTGCCTCGAGCACCTGAGCCGGATTGGTAATCATTTAGGAAACAGAGTAATAAAAAAAAAATACTTTGCCAAAGTGTGACTTCATGAGTGACAGATAAATGCAAAAACTCACCAGCAGAGAATGCAGAAATTGTGTCGGCACTTCCCACCTCATTTCTTACAAAGCAACAAAATTCACTCTTATAGTAATTACTGCTCTTACTAATCTAGGAGTGTTCTCTTTCTACTTATTTTTGTCGCTCTCTTTACAAAGTACTGTATGGCCATTTTCACCTTGGTGTTCTTTATTTCGTATTATAAATTACATTGTATCACCTTATGTTTGTTTTGTCACATGTTTTCTTGTTTATCCCTAACGTAATGTGTGCCCTCAATGATGCACCAATGGGGCATTATTGAGGGCACACTGTATGTCTTGAATAAATAAATAAATTGACTGTACAATACACATGGCTAAAACTAAACGACTTTGCAGAAGTTTTTTGTTTTTTTATGTTTAGTTTTTCGGGGCGGAGAACTTTTTTTTTTCTTTTATAATTCAAAAGTTTTAGAGCACTCTTTTTTTTTTTTTTTTATGACTCTTGAAAAAAATCATACGAGGCAAAACCAGACTGTTGGTGTGCTGCTCTAGTCATGTCTCATTATTATGGACCCCATGAATATGAATGTCTTGCTATAAAGGCAGCATTTTCAGGGAGGAACTGAATACATGTATGCATTCTTTTCTCATAAGTATGGGCGTTATTTTTGGAGAGCGGAGGTGTTCATGGTGACGAAACATCACTGTATTACAGTCCATACATGATATGAGAGATTTCTTGCTTTCTGATGAATGAATGCTCTAAAGAAAGCTTCGCTTTGTCGACACTTGAGATGACAAATAATGTGGCATGCTTTTGGGGACTGCTAGAATATTTGCTTGGAAGCAGACTTGCAAAAGCATCCTCAACAGGCCGTCAGGCATGACACTATGTACCGTAAAATCCCGAGCGAGCGCTCACTAAAAATTTGGACATAGTCATGCAGAACGGGGGATGGGCACTCCTCAGGTCAGCAATATGTAAAGGTATCTCCTTTATGTACTTTACGAATGTTTCGAAACTGAGGGGAGAGCGCTTATTGTGGAATGGGTAAATGCGGTGTATTTTACAGCAGACATTGCTACTTCGCAAGTTGACTTCGAGTGAACCAGCCCTGTAAGATAGCACGTGGCAACTAGACCGTTCCAACGAAGCCCAAAAGACCATGCAAGTCTTTGCCTCTGAATCTGTTTTTTTTATTGGAGCATGGACGGCCATGGCCAATCCCACTCCAGCAAAAGACCGCGCAGCTCTTCGTGGACTGCGACATTGGCAGACATGCTTTGAGTTTCATCGACGCTCTATTTGCCACGGAATGCATTTCTTTCTGTTTTCCATCCTGATTTTGTTACTACAATGAGTGCAAGGGTAGCCTGTTGTTTTAAGTTTGGTCACTCGCATTTCCGTCTTCCCAGGCCTTCTCTTCACGTATGGCATCACATCTTCGGGAAAGACCTACACCATGACTGGAAAGCCTGAAGACGGTGGCATGCTCCCGCGCTGCCTGGACGTGGTCTTCAACTCTATCGGAGAGCTCCAAGCCCGGAAATATGTACGAAACTGTGGCCCACCCTTTGGCACGCCAGCCTTCAACGATCTTCCAATCTTTTAACTTAGAATGTGTTTTCGGGCTCGTTTCCGAGCCTGGAGCTTCCCAAAATGTTGCATCTAAGATATGACGAGGCCAGTTGCCTTTACGGAAGACTGTGCCCCTCGGCAAGAATGTAGCCACTGACCTCCTGCTCAGTAATACGGTTCCTTGCACTGGTGGAGCAGCTTTGGTTAGCACGGTTACAGTTGGTGTATACGTGCTCAAGGTGCCTCAAAAACCTTGTCACCCCAACGGTGGGAGGAGCTCAAAACACACTGCGTGTTCTGATGCATATAATATTTTTATTTATTTTTCAGGTCTTCAAGCCGGACAGACTAAACGGCTTTGACACGCAGACCATTCCTGAGGCACTGTTGGAGCATCAGCAAGAAATAATGCCCCAGACACCTAAAACACCAAAGATTAGGCGGTGAGTCGCAGTTCCAAGAAACGCTTGCTGCATGTCTTGCGTCATGACTGTTTCTGACTGATGTATAGTCCCACGCAGAGATGGAGGGACTAAAGCTTCTTGTATGATAACCAGCGCACTCTTCTTCACAAAGAATGGAGGAGGTGCGTCTGTTATTTCAAAGTATACTATGACGATAGCAACAAATATAGTGCTTTTTCAGGATGGCATAGTCAGACAATTTAATAATTTGTTCGGATGAACGGTATGAAAAAGAGGAATTTCATTGGGTGGATGCAAGGTGGGTGTGTCTGCACGCAAATCTCCCGGCCAACCACAACCAGAAAAGTTTTACCCCAATGTCGTAAAACTTTCCATCAAAGGTTAAGAATCCACTAGATGCTCCGCCTCCAGTAGTTGCTTGTTGCCTTCTGCTCGGGTTTGGCTGTGCATGTGACAAAGTGTTCCCAAAGCCAGAAAGCTCACACTCGAAGCAGAGCGTCCACATGTCCTTAACATGTCAATGACTCTGTAGTTCTCGGCATATCGTCACTCGAGATATTATTGGGCAGGAAATCCGACTATAGACCAGCACGCGGCCCTGACGTCGCGCAGCTGCGGTGGCGCTGACGACGGCACTGCGCATGCGCAAACGCTTCACTCCTCCCGAATTAGGTTTCTGCGCGCGCGCAGTGCCCACACCTGGTGTGGGCAAACGCGAGCTTGTTTGTAAGCGGGGTGTCGGTCTATAGGAGGCGCTCTGACCCGTTTGTTTCCCCACACCTCAGTGTTTACTCAACACAAGGCCTGTGCACATGACAACAGGCCTTATGAACTTATGGACATGTCCATGTCATCTTCTACAATAGAGCGTGGGGCACAGTGTAATGTAAAAAATACTACTACTCAACGAAGTGACGTTAAGTACCGGATCTATCCCGAAAGCAGTCGTCAGAAAAGGCGAGCTTGACCCACTTGGGCTTTTGTGCTGAGCTGGGCACAGTGCATGCTGCATTGTTCATGCAGGCCAGAGTGGGAACAAAAGAGCCGTAGAACACGAACCCCAGCCGAACGCTGACGCTGCGTTCGGTTATGTCGGCCGAGCGCTGAGTCATTGCATTTGTTATCCCTATCCGTGTAGTTCTAAAGTTAACCGTTTGGGGCGTCACGGTCTGTCCTCCTCCCCAATAGGGGTGGGAATAGACGTATATTGTGGTGGCATTTCACAATAAAATGGGCAAGATACGAGGTCATGTTAGGTGACCAAGAGTTTCACCGTGAGGCCTGGTGGTTGGTTCCACCTCTTGCAGCAAGTTAGCTTTTATTTTTTAAAAAGTGATAGAATAACACACAAGCCATCATTTGTGCTTTGTTATACTGTGGTTTTGCTTGGATGTCTTTTTATCAGAAATCAAGTTGCGTGGGCCGACTTGTTTATTTATTTCCGTACCCTCGGGGCCCAGAAGGCAATTCAGACGGGAGGGACCAAAAGGAAACAAATAAAATGTGTGATAAAGACAAGACCATTACAAACATGGAGTGAGAACACAAGCGTTCGAGGTTCACATTAACAAAAAAAAAAAAACAGTCGTTTATCGCAATTTCATACTTGCCAATTCTCCCCTATTACCCTGGAGACTCGAAGTTTGACCAGTGTGTACGGTTGTACGAATGACAGGAAAATCTCCAGAAAATGCAAATAACCCCCTCCTTCCTATTTTCCATACTTAATCAAGGAGTTTTAGCCGTTGCAACAAACGGCTGCAATGATAGCAAGGCCCAGCTGTATCTCGCTAGCATGAGCAGTGTAATATAAATATAATGGAGTTGTCTATGTAAATTTGTTGTCAATATTTTTTTAACCCCCCCCCCCCCCCCTCCTCTCCCCTCTAATTCTTCCGGATTCGGTTTCTCCGGACTTGTCAGGTATGCAATTTTATGTGTGTCGACCAATGATGTAGGTGCAGAAAGGTTGGTATTTGAGGTACACAACTCCCAAATGCATCGTAAGTCAGGAATGGCTCACTGTTAGAGGCCAGTCTGTTTGGGAGGGGCTCGAGGTACCCGCTGCTTCTTTACGAGGAACTCCCGTCCCGGTTTTTTCAGAAAGGACGACGGCATTGTGGACTGGACCACGCGAGTCTACGAGACTGCCAAGGTGGACGACCTGGACCCCGACATGGCGTACGCCGTGTTTGTCTCCTACATCGAAATCTACAACAACTATGTGTACGACCTCCTCGAGGACAACCCCATCGACCCCATCAAGCCAAAGTGAGCTCACGCCGGAGAGTCGTCCAACATGCATAAGCCTTTGCATCGTGCCATTAACTAGGGTTATGTGTTTTCTGTGTATACCAACAAACCCCAGAAAGCAACCCCCGAGGGAGTTTTAGCAAGGTCGGGGGAAACGGAGAAGCCCTGTATCGGAGCTATCCTCGGAAAAGAAAAACTCAAACTCGACGGGAAGAGATCTTTATCTACAGATTAACAGTCCAAGTCGACGTGAAACGCAGCCCCCTCTTAACTTTTTACTAGACTGCTTCTTTCTTCGGGAACTACTCGCCTCACTTATTGGTACCAGTATAAATTTCAAGTACTATTTGGGTTGTGTTCAAGTTCCTGGGGATTGGGGAAGCCCATGTTATGTGTATTTTTTCAACGTAAGCCCTGCTGAATGCCGATTTCAATTCGACACTGAAAACACCAAGTCTGTGTTTTCACACAGACTTCGTGTCTGTGTGAGGAACAGCCCTCCCCTCAACTTAAAGGAAACATAGACCCTAGTTACAACTTCAGTGCTGCTTCCTTTGTTTGCCTTCTTTCTCGTTCACGAAAGTCCCCTCAAAATTTTGCACTTCGCTAGGCATCGCATTTGACGGTGGATTGCATCCATAACCACAATTCTCCGGCTCGAGTTTGCCCAAACACCTTTTACTTTGTTTCCAGGCTTACGAAGACAGATTTCATGTAAGCCATGATCTGCTTTTTGCTTATTATAAAAGATAGGCTTCCAAGACAAATGTTTCAAATGGGAATAAAATGTTTCTTGTGGATTGTTTCAGTTCTAAGAAGCTTCTGGTCAGTGCCGTTTTCAGCATTTGTGCGTACGGCGCAAATTTCACTCACTTTCCAAAGCAACAATCGTGCGTGAGCTCAACTGTATTGGTGAACATTAGAATTGCATTTAAAAGGGTTCAAGATGGCCGACTAATATCCATTCCTAATTTTGAAAAAGCGTGCGAAAAGGCGCCATATGTTGCATTTTTCTCTTCGTCCTTGTATTTGTGCACACTTTTTATTAAATTAGGCATTTCTTGTTTTGAGTATGAAATTTTATGCCCAACAAACCTATACTTCGTTTCACCTTACGATGGACTACAGCAAACGCCACGAGCCATCGGCGCCGACACAGTGCCACACGAGTGTCACATGACCTTCGAGAGGTGCACAGTCACGTGATATGCTTGCAGCACTAAATTGGCTGGAACAACCCGTAGCGTCTGCTGCAGTTCGTTCTAAGGTGAAACGTAGTAAAGTGGGACGCTCCGTATTTCTGCTCCAATGCCTTTGCTGTTTTTGCAGGCAGCTGCAGTCCAAGATGCTGCGTGAGGACTCGAAGCGCTGTGTGTACGCCTTCGGCGTGACGGAAGTGGAGGCCAAGACAGCCGACGAGGCCTTTGAAGCCTGGTGTCGAGGCCAGAAGCGCAAGCGCATCGCCCACACCGCACTCAACGCCGAGTCGAGCCGAAGCCACAGCGTCTTCAACATTCGCCTGGTCCAGGCACCCCTCGATGCCGACGGCTGCGAAGTGCTCCAGGTACTGTCCCGGGAAGGAGTCAGTGGCCGGGTTCCCTATAGACCAACACGTTTCCCTGACGTCACGCAGCTGCGGTGGCGCTTTTGACGGCACTGCACATGCGCAGAAGCTTCAGTTCACTCGAAATCGGTTTCTGCGCACGCGCAGTGCCCAGACCTGGTGTGGGCAAACGCAGGCTTGTTTGTAAACAGCGTGTCGGTCTGTACGAGGCGGAGACTGCTGGAATTAAGGAAAGACCCTGGTCTCGAGCATTTTTTTTATTGTTTCCGATTTAATTTATATTAAACTTTCACCTGCACTCTTAAGTTCTTGTGCTAAGCACAAACATCGGCTAAATTATTTTATCTATGATAGTTTTCAAGAAAACCTCACCTTTATCACAAATATTTTTGCCCAATGTTTCCACAATACCCCTATCAAGAAATGTGCCGCAAAGTATATCCGAATGTTCTACAAAGAGCAGAGGGTACCGTATTTACCCGCAGAATGAACACTTCTTTTCCCGAAAAATGATGGAAATTACACGACAGGACAGGTATGCTCTCGGCCACAATACACGCTTTCAATTTATTGTTTCTTTTCACTTTCACTTCACTCTGAGTTGGAAAGCTCAGCGATCTCCCTAGCCACGTCTTCGATGTCACTAGCCGCATCTTCATGCTTGTGGTCCCAAAGCAGGTGCTCCTTGGTACCGTCAAGCCTGTTGGAGATCCCAGTCTTCTTAAAGCTCTTGACGATGATGTCACCAGGAATCATCTTTTATGCCTCCAGGACCCACTCGCAGAGCATTTCGATAGATGGCCTTTTTATTTTGCCCCCGGGTGTTGGCGCGTAGTTGCCGGCTGCCATCCACTCAGTGTACAGCCTCCTCACGTTGTCCTTAAAGGGCTTGTTGAGGGAGACATCAAGCGGTTGCTGGACTGAAGTCGGGCCACCCGAAATGACGGCGATGTCGGAACGGAGATCCTTTAAGTTGCGGCGAACGCTGTCCACGAGGTGCCCACGGAAGCTGTCGAGCACGAGCAGCGATGGCAGAAGGGCACCCGGCCGCAGGCCCCACATTGTCGTGATCCAGTTGACCATCAGGTCCGCCGACATCCACCCCTTGTCTTGCACACGAATGTGAATGCCACTGGGAAACTTTGCCTTCGGAATCGTCTTCCTTTTAAAGATGGGGTACGGCGGGAGCTTACGGCCATTCGCCAACACTGCTAGCATCCCGGTACTCCTTTGTTTATCGGCTCCCGTTGTTCTGATGTGGACGCTGCGTGGTCCTTTCTGCTTTACCGTCGTACTTCTCGGCATGTCGAAGTTGAGGGGGGTCTGATCGGCATTTCGAATCTGGGACAAGATGAAGTCTTTTTCTTGGCGCATCCTTTTGAGGTAACGGTGAAAATCACTGATCATCTCCTCGTAGCATGCCAAGAGCCGTTGGCACAGTGTCGTACGTCTTCTGAGACTCAGCCCGTTTCGTCGCATAAAGCGTGTCGTCCAGCCATTAGTGGCTTTGAAATCCTGCGCTGAGATTCCATGTCTTCTCGCAACGGCCCATGCATGATTCTGTACCAGCTCATGTGACACAGCGCAACCCCCCTTCCGAAGGTTTGTCACGTAGTTGAGCACTTCCTCTTCAACGCGAGGAAACTTTTCCTCTTTCGGTCCTCGGAAGGCCCGACACATCTTGTATGCGGCTTGCAACTTTTTACGCTGCGGTTTTCAATACTGGACGCGCACTTCGTCGATGCCAAAATGTCTTGCGGCCACGTGGTTGCCTTGTTCAATGCCGTGCCCCACAACTTTAAGTTTGAATCTGCACAAATAACTGGTGTAACCGCTCATCCCTGCGTCGTCAGTCAACACGAAGATGAAGATGCTGCCAGCGCCGTCGCAAAATGGTGGAAATAGGAAACTTCTGCGGAAACTTTTTTGCGCTTCTTCCCGCTGCCGTCACGCGCTCTGCGATTGGTCTAATTCTTCTCTTCTCTTCCCTTTTCTTTGTTTACAACAGAGCCCTCGATGGTGTGAGGAGAAGGCGAGGGCAGGCTGCATTCATGCGCTTTGCTTTGCTTAGGCGAGGGGGCGAGGGCTTCTCCCTTCTCCTTCTATCTCTTTGCGCGCAGCGAGCAACCCCAAAACCAAACAGCGCTGCAAAAAAAAAAAAAAAAAAATGCTCCTCTTTGTTTGTTTTTTTTTTTGCTTGCGTGGTTTTTTTTTTTTGGTTTTTTTGCCGCCTTTTGCAAACCGTTTTGTTCGCCCCACTGCCCATGCATTTGCAACCTCCCTGCATTCGCAACCTCTAAGACAACCTCTAGGAAGACCTCAAGGACAATATCTAGGACAACCTCTAGGGCGATCTCAAGGACGATGTCTGGGACAACCCCTAGGACGACGTCGAGGTTGTCAGGTCGTCCTAGGGTGGGGTGCGAATGTGAAGGGGTGCTGCTGCCGCTCCTCAAACGTGCTGCGCAATGGGGTACAAGCACAGTGAGCTGAAATGGTCTACTGTGCATTAGGAGGCCAGGAAATACCAATGTTGCTGAAAATTTTGAGTGGTAGCCTAATAAAGCCATTACCAGTGATGTGATTGCTGCGCCAATTGCGCCAAACTGCGCCAAGGGGCTAACCCTGCTACATCCTGCTACATTTCACCGAAATATGGCTAATCTGCGCCAAGCCTGCGCCAAAGGAGCATTTTTGGTCGCCTTTCGAAAACAAAACTAAGAACCGTAATTGAGCATGCATGAGCTAGGTGGCAAAAGACGCCGCCCGACACGAGGTACCCTGAATCAATCGTCTATTCGGTCTTGCATGATTTTTCCCGCGTCGTCTTGCGTTTCGCGCTCTCGTCGTCTCGGGAATCTTGTCTCGCGCCTTTTTCTTTTTTTTTACTTTTTTTAGCGATAGACGTGGGCGTGTGCGGACGCTCCGACGTTAGTGTGCCGGGTTTCAGCCATGCCGTCATGCTGTGAAACAAAACCACGTTTTTGCGTGGCGAGAGTTACTTTGTGAGCTGAAGCGCTCGCGCGACCACAGTCGCCGTGGTCGCGCGACGTCGTGTGTTGCCGTCCCCACGTCGCTGCAGATATGGCGCTTTCTAAAATGAAACGCATCGACATTCCTGCTCTTGTTTAAATCGTAAGCTGCTATAAAAATTCCTCTTTAACTCAATTAATGTTTGGCGAAGTGTTGATTACCTAGGTTTCTCTCGGTGGGCTTTCTTTCGAGAGGGACCCCGGTACGTGAAATATCTCCCGCGAAAGAAAGTTGATGACGAGAAGCGAGCTAAAGCAACGAAGGCAATGTCTGCACGCTGAACCCGCACAGCGCGCTTGTTTGTCTCGAGTTTAGTCGTTGCACAAAGCGCTCCAAGAACTTTTTGACCTTGATTGCTAATGTCTTGCATCGATACTCTCAGGTTCTTTTTTCCTGTGTGTTTAGCCTCTACCTCGCCTGCCGGCCTGCCAAGCACGCGCCGCTGGACTTTTTATTGTCGTATGCTGGACAGTTACATTTTGCATACTATTTTGGGAACCAGTTGGCGACGGTGCGCGGAGCGGCATGGTTTCGGTTTCGGTCGAACAGCCGTTGTCTCCGCTCGCGCGGCGAATCACGTGTAACTGCAAGCCTGCCGAAGTTGCCCTCACGTGCATGTGAACATGATTGCACGAGAGGCACCAGCCGGGACGCTTGCAATTCATTGTTTTAGGTTTGCTTACTTTTTATAAAAATCTGCCACGTCGGGAACCAGTAAAACAATAGCAAGTGTTTTTTTTTTTTGAATTTTTCGGCAATGCTTACAGCTTTGTATTCACTTGCGGCCATATCCGTGTGCGCTGCTGCTGAGCGCGTGCTGACGGCGAGCTTCCGTGGTCCTTTTGGAGCGTGCATTTAGCACCATCAAGGTTGCCGGTCTTAGCAGGCTATTAATTTGAACTTGTTTTGAGCATGCGCTCTAAACAGCACCCACAAATATGGCGTCCAGTGAATACCTCCTATACTTGTGGGATGTCTCAGCATCACAAACACAAGCAGCGAGTTCCGCCCCAACACGTCACATCACAACACAACACAAAAAGTGGCCTTCGTTTGTCCAGCACTTAAAACAAATATTTATTTTTCTAAGATTATATGCTCCAGAAGTCACTTTTTCTGCTCTGAAACACTGTTTTGGCTGCTCCAAAAGCCACTTTTGCTGCTCCAAAACACTGTCTTGGCTGCTCCAAAGTCCACATTTGCTGCTCCAAAACACTGTTCTGGCTGCTCCAAAAGGTGCTCCAAAATGGCTTAGGCCAATCACATCACTGCATTACCGTAAAGTACCGGGCAAGCGCCCACTCATAATTTAGAGATAATCGCAAAAAAAGGGGGATGGGCGCTTGTCTGGTCATCAATTTTACATATGCTGTTAAATGTACTGTGCATATTTTTTCGGGTCTTACAAATTTGGGTATGGGCACTTAGTGTAGAATGGGCGGACGCGCGGTATTCTACCGTAGATTAAAACTTTTGTAGCTTACATTTTTCAGAAATAGTAGTCTTGTTGCTCTCTACGATTTATGAGGCACTAAGTCATGAAAAGTATTCAGGTACAAGCAGGGTTCTACCCAGGAATTTCTGAGGGGTGGACATTACCGGGGGTGGGGGGGGAAGGGGGGGTTTGTCGCGTCTGCTTGTCGTTATCCCTCCCCCCGCTTCGGGCACTGCCGGCGGCGCGCCGCTGAGATAGAGAGAGAAAAAAGAGAAAAGAAAAAACATACCGAGCGCCTGCACTCTTTGTTTGAAGCAGTGTGGCAGGGGAGGCAGTGCACAATGCGATAGCGCACGATAACGTGGCGATGTGTGGACCTGCTGGATGATCTGCAGCCATGTGGCGCAGGCAAAATCGCATAGTCATCCCGCAACGTAAAAAAGAATGATTGGTGGGCGGCAAAGCTACTGCCGCCCACTGCGGGGAGAACCCTGGGTACAAGTTTTATATCCAAGGATACCGTGGGCAAAACTTTGTGTTGCAAGGAAAAATTACCTAATTTTGAGAAAACTGGCAAAACTTTTTAAAACATGCTTATAATGGCCTAAATATTAGCTTTGAACCGATTTAACTAATATAAATGTGCACTTCCTGAGTGTCATACTTACAATACTGGCCATGCTGTTTGTAAATTGCAGATAAAAAATTTTTTTTGACTAACTTATTTTTATTGTTGTGTTTGAAGACTAGGGTGTCCCATTAACTTTATTTACATGTATATACAATGTACATGACACATGTGCACACGGTGCGAGGACGGGAGCAAGAGCGCGAGTTTAGTGGTTAAATTCCTCACAGAAGAATTTGCGATAATGCGAAGCCGGCAGCGCAACGGCCTCCTCACCGAGCGCCTCAATTTTGCAGCCAGAAGGCGCCGAGCGCTCCTCTGGCGGCCAACGGAGTCTGCAGGAGGGTCAGCACAAACATTGGCATTTGCCCGGTGCTGTACAATGGCAGCCAATGCTAAAAGGAGCACTATCTCGGGTTCGACGTCCGCCGGCAGATGTCGCTCGCGCAGTCCGGAGCGCACCGCTCTTGTGCTCTAGAAAGCTTTGATGCCAAGTGTACATGCTTTCTAGAAGGGAGCAGAGTGACATCTTGCACCATGTATGGCATCCACGCGGCTGGGTATTTGTGAGGGGAGGCTCGTGGTGCCATACCATCCCGACTACAGTGGACTCTCATTAATTCAAACCCCAGGAAGTCACAGATTTTAGTTTGAATTACCAGAAGTTTGAATTATCAGAAATTTATCTAAATATGATACTAGACAACATTATGATTTGTTACATGGATAGCTACACATACAAAGCAGATTTTTGCCAGTTTCCTCTACATAGGCCTAATTATAAGCAAGTACAGGCATAACACATTGGTGAAAGAACTGTGACGTTAAGTTTATTCATCCGACGAAAAATTTGTCGATTGTGGACAGTTTAGTCAGTACATAAGATCTCAAAACAAAATTTTCAATACTGGCCAACGCAAGTAGCCCTTTACGTGACTCTTCCTTTGCAGACAGAAATTTCCGGATCTGAGCGATGTGCTCAAAGGCCTTTGCATCTGTGACAGTTGGTAGTGGGTCATCCCTTTCTTCATCATCATCTTCACTATCACTGCTGCACTGTGCTGGCATTACTTCCTTATGTCCTCTAATGAGTCATCACGACAAGCACAGACATCGTCAAGACTAGCATATTCCGCCAGCTCGGCGTTCACATTACGTGCTTCAAGGCCAGAAAGCATGATGCCAGTGAGCTGTTCCTCATCCTCGATGTCGTCTTGGTCATCATTGCTAGTCTTGAAGCACATAATGTGAATGCCGTTTTCCGCTAATGTATGCCTGTTGAGCCCCGTTGAGTGCGCTTCTTTCCGAGCACCGGTGCACTGCGGAGAAGCTCTGCGAGTATTGCTTCTCTGCGGTGCACCGGTGCTTGGAAAGAAGCGCACTCGACGGGGCTGCGAGAACAAAAAACTATGAATTAAGCGAAAACGCCGTTCGAATTAAGCGGCTTATAAATTCATTAAAAACATAGCAGGACAACTAAAATTTTCAGATCTGTTTGAATTAACCGGAAGTATGAAATACCAGAGTTTGAATTATCGCTAGCCTACTGTATTCAGAAATTGTTATGAAAATATTGAAAACTCTGAAAATTCACCGTTTCATTCGAAGAATGTATAATATATTTGATATGCTATTTGAAGGCGACGAAGATTTGCATACCCCTAGTTTTTTTTTAGTGGGTGTCTTGGAGACAGCTCATGTGGCCTGTGGCAAAAGGGTTAAAACCAACCCGCTCCTTTTTCTCTACCTTGGGGGATTTTCTTTCCTGGGAAAATGTACTGCGATTAGAAGCATGGCTCATGCACATGCAGGTCTAAAGTACATGGATGTTTGCATAATTGGAGTGCCTTTCTAATAATCAATTCTACCAATTGTCTTGGAGCGCTGACTTAAGATCCCGGTGGAGAAGGTAACCCATGCCACTCAACTAGCACTCTTAGCTTGGTGTACATAACCCTCTTTTCTGCTGCACCACTGTGCTCGTAATCCTTGTCGACTAGCACTAGATGATCCCTCTCATGGGATAGAATTTTATCTTAAAGTAGGACTTCATCTTCCCAACCACCCTCTTGGGTGGACACTTGCATAGGTACATTAATACTTTTCGCTGCAAGGCTGCATAAGGGGGTACCACTCAAAAAGAGTGACATAGTCGTGTGTGGCAGATGTGTGGCAGACAAGCAGATTTTTGCGCGATTCAGTTCGCTTCACGCAATCAGCGTCTTGCTTGTTTTTGTGGCGGTAGACAAAGTAATGGATCCCAATGCCCCAGCAGAAGTCACTACAAGCTAGGCACATGTGCAGAAGCCTCCGCAGCCGAGATTTGGGTGGCGCGTCCAAGAATCCCCGGGTGGTCGAAATTAATTCTCAGGCCTCCGCTGGGGCGTGCATACCTTACCTGCCAAGTCTTCCATCTTACCCCGGAGGCTCCCAGAATTTGACTATTTCGTACGGTTGTACGATTGACAAGAAAATTTTTTGTTTTGGCTGTGCGTGAATGCCAGAGGCTCGTGAGACGTCGAAGCGCGATCAAAGCTTGTGCTAGAGGCGGGACGACTGAAGCTCCCCCCTGCTGTTCTCATTCTGTCAGTGACTGTGGTAGTATGTAACATTTGAGGAGTGAAGAGGAGAACTGCACAATGCCACGTGTGACTTGGTTAGCAAGATGTCGCGGCTACTAGGCTGTTTGCGGGCAATTCATGAAGTTTTCAATGCACGCTTGTCTCTAGAAGCAATTACGAGCAGTGGCCGACCTGTTCTTTCGTTGAAGGACAAGAATGCAGTGATCATCAGTCAGCTGTCCCTGGTCGACCTTGCCGGAAGCGAGCGCACGGACAGAACCGGCAGCACTGGCTACAGGCTCCGGGAAGCAGGTACGACCATCGGATGTTCGCTTGGGCGGCCGGTTTGCTTTCACACTTTAACCTTCGCGGATCCTGCCACTTGGCAGCTTTTCTGTAATGGCAGTGATGACGAGGCGAGGTAGACATTTATCCAGTCGTCGTTACTTTCGTTTCGCTCCAGGAAACATCAACAGCTCGCTAATGGTCCTGCGCACGTGTATCGAGATTTTGAGGGAGAATCAGACCACTGGCTCGAACAAGGTACCGTTTCACTCCTTCCTTCTTACTTTGCCATTTTCACTAAAAAGTTTGTTTCCTTTTGTCTTGGTACCATACTGACTGCTTGTCCCTTACCCCTCGTGGCCTTAGATGGTGCCGTACAGAGACACCAAGTTGACTCACCTCTTCAAGAACTTCTTCGACGGCGAAGGGAAAGTGCGGATGATTGTCTGTGTCAATCCTCGCCCCGACGACTACGACGAGACATTTGTGAGTCCTTCGTTGGCTTTAAATGGCTTGACAGAGGATGAAATTTATGTTCCCATTTTGTAGCAGGACACATTTATCTCTGGAACGCTTTTATGCTGGCTTTGAAATATTGCTCCCGGCCATAATTTTATGTCTTTGTTTAATAATCGTGCCCTCTGCACTCTGTAGCCACTTGGGGGCACACTGGCTAGAGATTTAACTTCTGAGCTACTCGAGTGATCGGAAGGAAATTTTCAGGGGAGATTTTGCGTCAGATGTAGACTATTGTGCAAACCTTCAGCTCTCCAGGACAAATATACCTACTTACATCAGAAGATGTGTCACTGTTCGTCAAGAAATTTGATATGTAAATGAAGCTATTGAGCACCATTTTGACTGCTTGAATATAAAGGGGGGGATGTGGGACTTTGGGATATCTAGATTTTATAGCTCCGATGTAAATAGGTATTTTAGGAAGAGTTATTACCTCAAAATATTAAAAAGTACAACACAACATACAGCGTACAACAGAAAATATGATACACTAGTTATGACTCTTTACAAAAGAATATTGGAAACGGCAGTTTTAAAACACTCGATATCGGGGATTTCGGCAATGGCTCCGGGAAGGTGATTCCACATTGTTGAGGCACTAGGAATAAAAGACTCATAAAAATGTTTGGTACGACAAGAAGGAATGGCAACTTTATGACGGTGATTGATGCGTGCTGAAACGTAATGAGGCCTTGTTAGTTTTCTTTTAGAATCGGATTATTATGATATATCTTATGATATATCATAATATATACATAGTATTTTCTCAAAAAGGATTTCAACTTAAAACAAAATAAAGTAGATAGTCCGTTTCCCCAGTAAAGTTGAGTTAAGAAGCATGTTAATTGTGGTATTAGAATACTTTTACCTTCAAACAAAAGATGTCTTCGTATGAATAATAATTGAGGTTGTGTGGATATTTAGACAGCGTTTAGTTGGTCAGCCATTTCAAAGTTGCAACGAGTCACTCGCTGTAGATGAGCAATTTAGCCAGTGCAGTGCAACCGCTAGCCTAGGGTCTTTAACGTGCACCACGCAGTAGTGATACATGACCGCACGCCAGTACGATGCTCATCCAGATCGAAACGGGCAGGGGTGGGGATTAAGCCCAGGATCCCTGGGTTCTGCAGGGCAAGCTTTCGCTCCATGTCCTCCGAACTGGTGTGCGCCAACCCACTCGGCCACCGATCCCCCCATTTCTTCGTATGAAATTTGCAGCAAAAAGTGGAACTGAGAAAAATGCTTTAGACATTGAACTCCTTTACTTTGTTACTGCCTCATAATGTGTTGAAAATATTTTATATCCATAACTATTTGGCATGTGGTTATTAAATTTAGTGTAAGGTTCTATAAATAGTTTCTAAAACCAAATACAGTCAAACCTCTATGTAACAAACTTTTATGTAACAAAACCCTCGATGTAAGGAAGTACATAATCTTTTCTACCCGCAAGTGTATGCACGCGATGTGCTTTTGACCCCTATGTAACAAAGTCCCATTTGCCAAAATTTTGATGTAACGAAATTTCATGGACAATTCGTCGCAAACTTTTGGGTCCCAAAGGAGATTTTAGAAAGAAGATGCACTGAAACGGGCCCTTGATAAAGCGCAAAGGGTGAAACGGGCCGAATCTGGTGAGTATTGTGTACAGAACGGTCACTAGAGGACACTAGAGCCGCCACCGTTTTGTCCGTCGGTTTCGTTAGTGCAGTGTATTTCGTTTCGAGGCCTCACTAAAAGCGTGCGTTTCTCGCTGTCCTGGGCGATGGAGCCTTGAAGGCGATGGAGCCGCCCCTGACAACGTCGACCTCGACGACTTTCTTTACACCAACTCTGTTGTCATTGTGATGGAGGAAGTGACCGACGAGGCGATAGCTAGCAATGTTTGCGGAAACTTGCAAGACGGGGATGACATCAAGCCTGATGAGAGAGACACCTGCAATGTACCCAGTAACCATGAAATGGTGAACCCGATCGATGTCTTGAGGCGGTTCGCGAGCACACAGCAAGTCCAAAACGCGATGCAGGCTGTCTGGCTATGCGAGCGTCGTGTGATGCCTAGAGTGGCCCAGAAAGAGGTGACTGACTACTTTTTACCGAAATAAAGGTGTCCTCGGTAAGTTTTGTTCACCCGAAAACATTTGTGGAAACTTCCTTTCACGTTAGCCCTGAATATTTGTGTAGCCAAATTTCAATGTAACGAAGTAAACTTAGAATGTTATTGACTTCGTTACATCAAGGTTTGACTGTACATCAAATTTAAAAAAAAATTTTTTTTTTTAGTTTTGAATTTAAGGCTTATATTTTTTTCTTAAAATCGAAACAATGGGCTTTGCGCCAATTAACATGAATTTGCTAAGCCACCAGAGCTGCCTGTTTTATTCTGTGTGGAGCAGGAACAAAACGACATAGTTGACAGCGGGCTTGAAGAGCAAAGCACATTAATTTCTACATTAAGAACGCAGACCCATTTATGGAATCAAACTTTAACTTACTCGCATGCATGGCGTCACAGCACTTGACTGTACCTTATATGAATCTCGCCGGTGCAAACGCAGCCATGCTGTATAACACATTGCCTCGGTGAAAGGGTGGCTTGAAGTTGGAAGAACTATGTTAAAGAGGACTCGGGTATATAAGGGAAGGAAAAAAAGATTGAGGTACACCTAAGCATTCCTTATGAGTTGTAAATGCAAAAGCATGCAAGCCGCTCGTCCGCTCCCTTGGCTTGAACCACGAACCGCCTCCGGGTCACGCTGTCGAATGGCCGCGGTAGGTCTCCTAGTGCGTTGCACCGGTGTCGGTACTTCCCGCCGTGTAGCGCGCTGCGCCGCTGCTCGTTCCTCCTGCAGTGTAATGAGAGACCTGACGACGATGGTAGATTTTGCTGCCAACCTCTTTGCACGTTTTGCTGCGTTTTGCCGGTCCCTTAGTTTGTCTGCGGTGTACTTGCGTGGAGGGCCATGTTTCCCTGCGGCCGAGGTAGCGGCTGCCTGGTCCATCTGCGCCGTTGCCTCAGCTTCCCCACTGCGTACGTTGCGCCTTGCCTTTGTCAGCGCCTGCTACCTTGGACGTCATGCTCCCGCCTCACGTTTTCGGAGGGGCTGGCACTCTTGCCGCCTGAGACGCTTTGAATCGCGATCAGCCTGTGCCGCATGCTTTTAAATGGCGTTGTTCTGTTTCCCACATTAGTTGCACCGCTGCTCGTTCTGCCCGGTGTGTAATCGGAGATTTGACAACGATTGTGGATTTGGCGGCCTGCCTCCTCGATCGGTGTGCTGCGTTATTCCGCTTCCTTAGTTCGTCTGCAGTGTACTTGCGTGGACAGGCAGATTTCGTCACTGTCGAGGTGGCGGCCGCCGACGATGTGTATGCTAGAGGCAGTGCCATAATCGTCGGCGGAGAGACGAGCAGAAGTACTACCGCGATGTGGATGATAAAGGCGACGGCATGTTGGTCGGCTGGCGAAACGAGCTGAAGCCCCCGAGCGCTTTCCAATGTGTCCGTTTTAACTGGCGTGGGGCCCGTAGTGGCATGGTGTTGCGGCGGTTAGTTTTATCGGCACACTGGGAGGCACGGACACGCAGCGCCATCTGGCGGCGATCATTGAAATTGGCGCGCGGAGCAGCCAATGGGGAGCCTCGTCGCCGTGTGCCAGACAGTGGGACCGTTGGGATCAGCAAAACTTGGAGCCGTTTTCTCGCTACAAACTGATGACTTTGGCCCAATCTATGAGACCAGTTAATGCTCTCGCATTAAAACTATCTGTTCTTGGCCTGGTAGATGTTGCTAGAACTTGGTGATCTTGGAGTGTAAATTGTTTAACTTCCAAGGGTCATTGCTAAGGACGTCGAGGGAATTGAGTGATGGTATAACTTTACACAGGTGCTTTTAAAACAAGGTATTGTTGAGAGCTATGGTGTTTACCATGTACCACCAGGTTCATGCACCAGAAAAAGATCAGACAAGTTTGCATACTTTGGCACAGAATCAACAGCTCTAGAATGTCAAAGCCAGACTATGTATCCCAATCCCGCCCTGTATAGGCGGATTTGTATTTTTGCTGACCCTTAATGTCATTTGTCTCGTTATTTCGTGGGCAGCTGTTTTTTTTAAATCTTTTTCCTAATAACCAGTCGAGGCTCTATTCTTGGATATCCCAAGACCCTGGTTTAAATTGCCTCCCCAAACCTCTACCCAGTTGGCAAGTTATAATCCCGGCGGAAGTGCCCGCAATTCGGCAGGTCTTTTTTGAAGAAGGCGCCCATGGCCAAAGCTCTTGTTGCGTGTCAAGAGGTCCCCCGGCATTCTAAATGAATCCTCCGTTTCTCTCTGGGGATGCCAGATGTCCTTCGTTTGTTTGGGCACATACCTAAATATGGATCCTACGTTCTTTTCCCCTCCAGCACGTGATGAAGTTTGCCGAGATGGCCCAGGAGGTGCTCATCCCCCGCTCTGTTCCCAGCACCCCTACCGCCGCCCTCAACCTGCGTACTGGACGCAGAAGGATCAACATGGGCCGCACAGACAAGTTTGGAGGTAAGCGGTCATCAGTGCCACCCAAACTCTTTTCTAATATTGGTTTATTTGTTAGGAACTTGTAAGGGATTTTGTTTCGTTATCTTGCGTTTCCATTAGTAATACAAACTTGTTGAATTTTTGGCTCGAATCGTGTTGTTGCAGTCCTGAGCAGCTCAGTCAGGTCTATCAGGGTTGCACACGGTGTTTAGATTTTACCGCCTTCATTGTTAAAGAGGTTGCCTCAGAGCAGTACGTTGATCCGGATATGAACCAAAGTTTCTTGCCGGCAAGCTTGACGTGGGGATACTTTGCATCTGGTGCCTGCTGCCAGACTCCTGCAGTTTCCTCAGACTACAGGATAATCTACATCCCTTCGTCCTCGTGAAGTTCAAGGAGTTCCACTTGAAACGTTCTTGAATCTTGTGCAACTTTTTCCATGGTTGGAGAGCCACCACTCAAAACATCAACCGCAAAAGAAAAGGGTGTTGAGGAGGTATGAGCCACACTTGAACCCACGGAGAGCTAGGCTGGCCAACCCCGACATATAGAGTGGCATGAATAAAAAAGTAGGCTGTAAATACAGTAAAACCTTGTTATAACAAAGTTGAAGGAGCGATCGTAATTATTTCGTTATAACCATTAGTTTGTTATAGCCAATGTCCATTTCTTCCCTATTAGCAAGCAAGGGGAATTATGATTGCTTTGTTATATCCATTAGTTTGTTATATCCCATTTTGTTATAACGAGGTTTTACTGTAGTGCAGTAAAAGTTGTGCCTGCACAATGAGAGCCCATATGTTGATCAAATCTGTAATTTAGTGGTGAATTTTACCTCGTAAAATTCTGCGACACAGCTTCATTCTTGTGAAAAGTCGCAACATTGTTGACATTTTCAATGGTAGGCTTTGATGCAACCTATAGGAATATACTAGTGCATTCTTGGATGTTTGTTGGATGTTTCAATATGATGTGAAACCTTAAAAAATAGTAACATTCCTTTCCCTAACATTTCAGCACATTCGTCCGCTCCTGAAACCTTCAGTTCTGGATCTTCTAGGAACAGGACATCCTTCTTGAAATGCACTAAAACATTTCACCATTACTCAAACTAAAATTCATAACTGTTAATGTTCGCTGATGATATCAAGATATTTACAAACATAAAATCATCTGATGACTGCGTTCTTTTGCTGGATGATATCGTACGCGTTTCTGAGTTGTGTTCAGCATATATTTTGCTGAAAACTACTGACAATGTCACGAAAATGCCAAATTTGATCTTACCCGTACATACCTCAGTCGGCAACTATTACACAAGTCACTATTGTTTGCGACCTTGGGATTTATTTTGGCTCTGGACTTTCTTCTTCCTGTTATTTCACGCGGCTAGTTGCCGCTTCACTCCCCCTGGGAGGGTCAACTTTTGAACCCTTGGATTAAAATTGATGAAATTTACAGGGTATGCTGGTGGTCATGCTAGAGGGTGCATAACGAAATTTCAGGTCTGTCAGCTAAGTGGGAGGGAAATTGGGGCACCTTCATCAGCAACACCCCTACATTGTTTAGTTAATTTATCGTCGGAAAACTATCACAATATTCACGATTTTTATTCGCTAGATATGTAGCAAAATGCCTAGGAGGTGCGCCTATGGAAAGTTTTTTGTAAAAAGTCTATTGATTTCTATCTATTTTCTCTTCTGTAAAATTGGTCAACTTTTTGGTCTTCTGTGTCTCCGACAAAATGCCAGCATTTTTTATAAAAGACATCCGTAAAGTGACAAACTCCATAGGCGCATTCCTTATTAAATTTCAGTTAGGAAAAGTGAAGAACGAGCCTTCCCTGTATTGCCATTATCAAACGATAGATTGACTAAAATGGACTTTATACCAAAAAGTGGAACGGAGAAAAATGTGTTCAAAGTGCTCCAAACCCTACCTTTTCTTTAGCTTCGGTAGACAGAAAATAATTTATAAAAAAACTAACTATGCAGAGTTAACGAGTGAAAATATCTGGGAATACTCTCTGGATGTAGATAAATGTAAATAAGTAATTTTACAAAATCAATGTCTTTTGCAAATTTTTTTTTTCTCTGGGTAGTGCCCCTCCTTAAAGCTGGGCTTGCTATCATGCTTGTCTTATGGTTGCACTAATCTCTTATGCATCATTAATTTATTGTGCTGTCTGGTATGTACAAAGCTTAAGTTTGGCAGTGTAATATGGAATTCTTTGTTGGCTACTGAAGCGTCGCCTAATAAATCCGTACAAAAACATTTTATTCAAATTATATGCGCTATGTATTTTCATAGATGTTGTTTTAACTATGAATACATACTGAAAAGTCTGCGTCTTCAATGTTTATCAACTCGCAGGCTTTCTCGTGCCTTGTTGTTTCTACACAAAATGATCCAGGGAAACTTTGGCGCTAACTTGTTTCTCTGTGTTAATTTTTACGTATCAGCTCGGTTGTGCAGGAGTTTTATATATTGTCCTTTTCTTAAAAAAAAATATGCCATGAATAATTCGCACACAAATATTAGTATTTAACAATTTAGCGTCATCAAATTTAGATATTTTTGGTGAATTGGTCCTTTTCAAGCATGAACTGGACCACATGTTGTATACTGTTTAAAACAGCATTGTTACGATGCACACTTTTTTTTAATTTTAAGTGTGTATATGTGCCACCGCATCAAAACCGTGAAATTGTTCTGGGACACACAGCAAGTAAAGGATTATTATTATTATTATCTCAAATATTCATAATTCACCACGCTCGTATCCTATTGCCTCTCGTCTTGCTGCGTTTGATTTACTTATTGTAAGGATGTTCCAGATATTGTCATTCATCAACACGATGGCCAAGATGTTGATTCACATTGTAATGGAAGTTTCTAAATTGGCAATTATTTTTCTTCAGGAAGCCTGAAGGACTTGGTCCCACAACAAGAACCTCCAACCCCAGAACCGGTGCTTCCAAACTTCATGGTCAGACTTCCGTCCTACCTCACATTACCTTGCCGACTTCCTTTTGCAGCCAACTTTGAACAATTGGAAGCTCAGTAAAATTAAAACATTAAGCAAACTTCAACTTTAATAAAAAATAATATGACCCACGAGTTTTTTTTTTAAATTTTTTTAACTCGGCCCAGACTCGGGTGAAGTTGTTAAGTTCTGCTTGCCTTTGCCAATGAAAATGTGCTGCAGTAACTAAGCTCTGCAATTTGCAAACCTCTCAGGGTGTCATCGACGTTGGTTCCTTGTTTGTTTTTCTACTGGAAAAACAATTTTTACGACACCCAACACAACTTTTGCTTTAATGGCACTCAGCACAGGAAGTGGTGGAAGAATTCCTGTGCCTAACCACTTGCACACTTTCAACTGTTTGAGAATGAACCAAACACCATGGCATGTTTGTTGACATCTATATACTCATTGGGCAAAACATCTCCAAAGGTTGAGTAATTGTTTGAGCCTATGGGCCTAGATATGTTGGCTGTGCAAGCTGCCTGTCCACACATGCATGCTGTTGACTGTGATGCACGCGCCCACCGCCACACTTGGCTTTGCAGCTTAGCCGGTTTATCTGCACTGGTTCTCTAGTTTCTCGACTGCACGAACAGTAGGTAAAGGCGGTATAGTGTGTGTGGTTGTGAGTTTAGCTTGGCGTCTGAAGACCACGAGCATTTCCTATGTTCCCAGAGTTACCGGTCAGGAGCACACAACAATATTCTTCGAATTAACCTGACCCAGTGGGAAAGCTTTGAATTTCCATGTGCATTTTTCAATAGACTTGAATGTGTTATTGCTGGGGCTGCGCCCATGCTTCGAGCTAACGAAAGTTCAAATTCAAGGTAATTTCAGGTAAGATCGAACAGAGGTGGCCGGTTGACCTTTTTATTAACTTCATAATTTTGTATCTTATTTTCCAATGCCCGGGATAAACAAATTCATAATTATTTTCGCCCACAAAAAAAAAAATTATTGGATGCAAAAAATCATAGTTTACAAAGAGGTAAAAAGTCACATTCAGTATGTGCGTAGTCAAAGTGGTCAACTTTGGCAATAAATAACGGAAGTTGTACTTTCGTAAAGAGTTTCACAATTTTTGGACGAAATATGTGTATACTTTACAATACGAAAAAAAATTATAGGTATTGTTTATTATCTTTTTTAAAATATTGTATACAAACATAAATTTCGGGGTTGCTTGGTCGTTCTCCCCCCAAATTTGCTGGCCTGTGTTTTAGAAACTAATTGCATCACAAGCGTAATGTTTTGACACAATATGCTACTTATAAATAAATGTCAATTCACGCAAAAATAATTTTTTTTTAGGAACGGTTTGTTGAGATATTGACAAGCAAACACGACCAGAGCAACAAACTACAAAAACCTTCTGGAGACAATTTAAAAAATAAAACCCATTTTTGATTTTGTTTAAACTTTGGCCAATCATTCTACCGAACCCCGTTTCGAAGGATTGGCACGGGCTGTCCCTATGGTGGGATGCAGTGATTGCGACTTATTCTGTGGGGAAAAATATTTTGTCATTTAGCTGGGAAAACTAAAGGTATGAAACCTATCATTTGTATGGCCCCAATATATTGTGAATTGGAAATATGGGAAATATTTGCGGCCACTAAATTTGACGACTTCTATGGGCTGTGAAAAGCGGAAGTTTCGCTAATTTTGTGCACTTTGTTTTAGAATTTGCAGAAATTAGGGGCTCACAAATATTAAAGATTCTACAGTGGTTTGTTAAATGCTTTGCACGTAATAATAAATTACACACTAAATAGACTGAACTAAACACCCGAGGAGCCTTTTGAAGTTTTAAAAGAAACAGATTTTGACGAGTCATATTCGGAATTTTACCTGGACAAAATGGTGGGTTACTTTTGTGGTCAAGAGAATAAAGTTCTGACGCATACCCTTGTGAGAGCCTCGTTCAGGAAAAGGGGATTGAGTTCCAAATTGTGACCTTGCGGGGGAATGTTGGGGGAATGCTGGATGTAACGAAAGAAACAAGCGTGTTGGTAGTGGATACAGATTTGAGGAAAGGATAACATAAAGGATGGATGGGCAAAACTTTAAACTATACTGTGTTTCATATTTAATCTAAAACTTTGCCAAGGCTTGGAGTACAATCACTTGGCTCAGTCCAGCATCTAATTTGCACTCAGTCTCGTGCAAATGAAGTGCTAGGCCAAGCCATACGCTCGTGCTCCTAACCTTGGCAACGTTAAGTATGAAATAGGGTATAGCAACAGCATTTATTGCTCCGTGAGTTTGTATATTTGTGTAATTAAAGGAAGAAGGGGGAGGGAGGGTGAAGGTTGAAGAAGGAGGAACTGGAAGCATGAAATATTTAACCCCTTGGTAGAGGGCGAGTGTCACCTCCTAAACGATGCCACTGTTTGAGGAATGGGAGAGAAACTTTGGCGACATAAAGTTAATCTCTTTCCTATACAGGCCTATCGAGAGGAAACCGAAGTTGTCTTTAGAATCATGCATGGCGAATGCCTCCATAATCTCTTGGCCGTATCTCGAGGGGTGAATGCCAATTCTCGTTGTCAACGAAAATTCAACCAAGCAAGAACCGCAATCTGACTTAGGTTTAGCGATCGGGTGCTAACTGATATTGAAGTCATCAGCGGCTCCCCTCTTGATCTCGTTGATTTCAAGACTGGGAATGGTTGTCACTTGTATGGTTATGCATCGTAGGGTTTATATTTCGCTGGCGTGTTGTGACAGTCGTATTTGTCGTTTTGTCGTATTTGCTTGTCAATATCTCAACAACCGATTCATAAAAAGATTATTTTTTGCATGAATTGACGTTTATTTATAAGTAGCATATTGTGTAAAAATATTACGCTTGTGATAAAGTTATTTTTTAAGATACAGGCCTGCGAATTTGGCAGGAAAAGGTTCAACCAGCCAAAATTAATGTTTTTTTTTTTTATACACTCCGTGCGACGCGACTGGCGCGCCGCCGCGCGGCTGTTACCGAAGGTAGGCAGTGAGCACCCCAGAGAAAACGAAACCGAAACCACGCCGGCGTACGTTGGTACGCGTTGAAGTCGGAGTGGTACTGTTGCACTGGGTCCACAGCATGAAGTGCTGCCTGTGCTGCGTCATTACGTGCTTCAATAGTTATGAGTCGTATCTCGTGGAGACAAAGTTTCACAGTTTTTCACCTCGCCGATGTTTTGTGGGACAGCGACAACGATGGAGCCGTGCCGTACGACGCGAGAAATTTGGTGTCCCGATCATGTCTGCCACTGGGTCGGCACGGCTGACATATTCTACACTGCCGCTTTGCGCTCTACGTTTGTTTTCGTACCAGTGACGCCTACATGTGTCAGCGCCGATGGAACGAACTGAAATGCCATCCCACACTCGCGGGTATGCGTGACAATTTCGTTGGAGGAATGCCCTCCAAAGAAGTTTCGTCCCCATCGTACGTGTCGATATTTCCGGACAAATATGGCACGCAATCTGTACTTCATGAAGAAAGATTTGAACGGTAAAAAAAGTGACAAATATAAATCTAAAGAAAACAACCATGAAACTCGGAATCACTGGAGAATCGGCGTTTGAGTATGGAAGTTTATGTGGTGTGCTTTCTTTCTTGATCAGCCTCCTTTTGGATGTGGAAACACTGACACCCCGAGTTCTGTAGATAACAATTTTTTTTTCTCAGCTTTAGAGCCACCTACCGCAAAGTTGTTGGAATTGGAAGTACCGTCCACTGGTTCTTTCCTACCTGTAAAGTGTGCACCTCCTATGAAGCGTGGTATTATCTTGACAGCCTTTGACGGTCAAAACTGGTTCCCATTTAGTTACGCCGCCCAAAACAAATTTGCACTTGGTTTCGCTATGCCACCTTTTTTTGGTATAATAAGTGTTGTGTCAAGCTAAGGTCATGTCAACGTACCTGTGGGCCGAAAATCAGCACCTCGCACTACAGGTTATTACACAACAGCTGACCGCAAAAGCCCTTGGCGGCCAAGCCAAGGGCTTTTGCGCCCTTGGCTTTGCCAAGGGCGCAAAAGCCCTTGGCAAAGGGCTTTTGCGCCCTTGGCCGACAACTTCGTTTTCTCGGCTTTGGAACCACCTTTCGTAAAGTTGTTTCAATTGGAAGTACAGTCCACTAGTCCCTTCCTAGCTCTAAAGTCTCCACCTCTCCCGACCAGTGGTATTCTCCTCACAACCTTTCATGGTCAAAACCGGTTCCCATTGAGTTACGCCGCCTAAACCAAATTTTCACCTGGTTTCCCTATGCCATATTTTTATTTTTTTTTTTTGTATAATAAGTGCTGTGTCATGTTACTGTCAAGTCCAAGCCCCTGTGTGCCCAAATCTGCACTTTGCACAGACCGCTATAACACAACATTTCTGATCCAATATTGGATATACCGTACAGCTTTATTTCTTTATTCGTTAGAAACAACTTTCACACCTGCTGTCTTAATGAAACTTGGCACACTTCGTGCAGAAACTTAGTGGACATCTCACTCGCCTCCAATATCATCGTTCCAGCAGTCCTACGTTTACAGCGACGAGCGAAATAAATTTCCCACTCAAAGCAATCATGGTGGCGGCCGTCTCGCTTTTCGAAAAATTGCTCCAACTCCTTTTTTGGCCGCAAATAGAGAAATTCCCCCGAATAACGACTAAAACTCAATATATAGGAAGAGGAGAACAGCTAAATGCCCTTCTTAGGTCTGCCCCAGCATTCATGGAACATCACCCTCAACGTATCGGCTCAAAAAGCAAAAGTTTCATCCGTGCGCGCTTCCGCCGCCACAGCTTGGCATGCGAAAAGGCACCGCAGGCTGCTGAACGCGCCTCACGGTCGAACGCCAGCTCCTCCGCTAGCGGCGCTGCGCGCGTTTTTCAAAGCGCCCCCTATAGTTCCCGCACGGAGTGTATAATAAAAATAAATAAATAACAATACTTTTATCATATTGTTAAGTATATATAGTTTTTTTTTCCAAAAATTATGAAATTCCCTTAGAAAGTATAGCTTCCGTTATTTATCGCCAAAGCTGATCACTCCGGCTACGAACAAAAAAGTGTGAATATCCACCTCTTCGTAATTTACAACTTTTTGTGTTCGATAACTTTTTTGTGGGTGAAAATAATTTATTTTGTTAATATTGGGCACCGGAAAATACCATATAGAATTATGAAGTTAATTAGAAGGGTCAGTTGGCCACTCTATGTTTATCTGATCTGAAATACCCTAAAACGACTTCGAACTATTGAGAGTCGGATGTATATATGTTCTGCACCAAGCCACCATAGCTGCAGTGAAAATCTCCTTTACAACAAACTGGTTAATGCAAAACTTGAGAACTAGGCAAGTTGGTACCGATTCATAACGAAAAACCTGGTGCCATAAAGGGAGGGGTACCAGAAAGACAAGTACAACAGAGTATACTTGCCTTATTTTGAGCGAGTGCTTGTCCCTCATACTTGTCTTTTTTGTGTCTCCGTTTTTACTGGACCCTGTTTCTCACTGGGGTTAATGCAAGCACTCTTTTACAAACTGTTCAGCTTTGATACAAGCTTGCTGTAGATAAGTGTCGACTTACAGTGAGCCGCTTGGGAAGGAGTCTCCTGGAAAGCTACGGAAGAGTGACCAAAGTTTTGCTAAAATACCTAAAAGACTTAGCATGCAGAAGCTAAGGTTATTAACGAAACTCTGGCCTTCAGTCTGAGTCTCCTTAGGACACGGGGCAAGAGGCCCTTTTGACCTCTTTGCATCCCCCTTGATCCCTCATCACCTGTGCTGCTTGCCATCTGGCCCGTTCCGCATTGGCTTCGCGGCAACTCGGCCCGCTGCACCAAAGAGTTGCCGATCACTGCTTTAGGAGATCCTTTCCTTGTTCCTCCTCTCAGCTTTGACGTTAATTCTTTTTTTATTCTACAAGAAAGTTTCTAGAATTGTCGTAGAAATTTCGAACAGGCTGATTGGTTCGAAACCGGGTGCCGCCTTTGCAGGTCATGAGTTCGTCCGACGAGGAGGTGATGACCAGGCTAATGGAGCACCTGACTCGGAGGATTGCAGTTGGCAACGAGATGACCACCAACTTGGACCGCGCAAGTGCGTGCTCTTCCCCTGTATGACTCTCTCGTGCATGGCATCTGTGGTGTTTATTGTTGGTTTACTTTGAAGGGGGACATGGGTCTTAAAAGTGGAGATTCGCATAATGGTTAATTTCTGGGCAAAGAAAAGGCGCAGTTTGGAAGTTTACATGACAGAGCGTCTCCTAACAAGGTGGTATATATGATTGAGAATTGAAAAGGTGCAGAGGACAAGAGACCAGATGAAGAATGGCACAAACAGCATTGTGCCTGTCTTTATCCAATCTCTCATCCCTTGCGCCGTTTTACTTCTCAAGTATCTACAACTTGCCCAAGCTTCAACTTTAGTATAGGATAATTTCTGCAGTCAAGTATAAAATATCTTTCCTAAACAAAAGATATGCCGAAATATATCATCCTTGCTTGGGTCATTTCTCACGGGTCGTTAGAATAATTTATCACTAACAACTTTTAGTTTAATTACATATGGTGATTTCCAAGAGCCCATCAAACATTCTGGAGCTAATGGGAATATTTACAAAGGGCGTGATTATACAGAATGCACAATTCTAATTATATGTATTGAGTATAGTACGTTCCGTGCGGGAACTATAGGGGGCGCTTTGAGAAACGCGCGTAGCGCCGCTAGCAGAGGAGCTGGCGTTCGACCATGAGGCGCGTTCAGCAGCCTGCGGCGCCTTTTCGCATGCGAAGCTGTGGCGGCGGAAGCGCGCACGGACGAAACTTTTGCTTTTTGAGCCGATTCGTTGAGGGTGACGTTGCATGAGTGCTGGGGCAGAAGGGCATTTAGTTGTTCTCCACTTCTTATATATTGAGTTTGAGTCGTTATTAGGGGTAATTTCTCTAGTTGCGGCCGAAAAAGAAGTTGGAGCAATTTTCCGAAAAGCAAGACGGCCGCCACCATAATTGCCCTGAGTGGGAAATTTATTTCGCTCGTCGCTGTAAACGTAGGACTGCTGGAACGGTGATATTTGGATGCGAGTGAGATGTTCACTAAGTTTGTGCACGAAGTGTGCCAAGTTTCATTAAGACAGCAGGTGTGAAAGTTATGTTTCTAACGAATAAAGAAATAAAGCTGTACGGGATATCGAATATTGGACCCAAAATGTTGTGTTATAGCGGGCTGTGCAAAGTGCAGATTTTGGGCACACAGGTGCTTGGACTTGACAGTAACATGACACAGCACTGATACCAAAAAGAGGTGGCATAAGAAAACGATGTGGAAATTTGGTTTGGGCGGCGTAACTCAAGAGGGACCGGTTTTGACCATGAAAGGGCTGTCAAGAGAATACCACTGGTCGTGGGAGGTGGAGGCTTTACAGGTAGGAGGGACTAGTGGACTCTACTTCCATTTGAAATAACTTTACGAAAGGTGGTTCCAAAGCCGAGAAAACAAAGTTGTCGGCCAACGCACGGTTTGGCCGTCGAGGGCTTTTGCGGTCAGCTGTTGTGTAATGACCTGTTGTGCGAGGTGCTGGTTTTCGGCGCACAGGTACTTTGACATGAACGTAACTTGACACAACACTTATTATACCAAAAAGAGTTGGCATATAGCGAAACCAGGTGGAAATTTAGTTTGGGTGGCGTAACTAAATGGGAACTGGTTTTGACCGTCAAAGGCTGCCAAGATAATACCATTCATCGTGGGAGGTGCACACTTTACAGATAGAAAGGGACCAATGGACGGTACTTCCAGTTCTAACCACTTTGCGATAGGTGGATCTAAAGCCGAGAAGAAAAAATATTGTTGTCTACAGAAATCGGGGTGTCAGCATTTCCACGTCCAAAAGAAGGCTGATCAAGAAAGAAAGCACACCACATAAACTTCCATACTCAAACGTCGATTCTCTAGTGATACCGAGTTTTATTGTTGTTTTCTTTAGATTCATATTTGTCACTTTTTTTTTACCTTTCAAATCTGTTTTCATAAAGTACAGATTGCGTGCCATACTTGACCGGAAATATCATCGACACATACGATGGGGACAAAACTTCTTTGGAGGGCATTCCTACAACGAAATTGGCACTGCCTACCCGCGAGTGTGGGATGGCATTTCAGTTCGTCCCATCGGCGCTAATACATGTAGGCGTTACTGGTACGAAAACAAACTCGGAGCACAAAGCGGCAGTGTAGAATATGTCAGCCGTGCCGACACAGTGGCAGACATGATCTGGAGACCAAATTTCTCGCGTCGTACGGCAAGGGGCCATCGTTGTAGCTGTCCCGCAAAACATCGGCGAGATGAAAAACTGTAAAACTTTGTCCCCACTAGATACGACGCATAACTATTGAAGCACTTAATGACGCAGCACAGGCAGCACCTCATGCTGTGGACCCAGCGCATACGCACCACTTTGACTTCAATGCGTACCGACGTATGCAGCGTGGTTTCGGTTTCATTTTCTCTGTGGTTCTCACTGCCTACCTTCGGTACCGGCCACGCAGCGGCGCGCCAGTCGCGTCGCACGGAGTGTATAGGACAAGGTGTAAACCTGTAGGATGCAGTTCAGTTACTGCAAAAAACAATGATACATAGTTTCTTGAAATCCATTCATGAGAACATTGTCAAAAACTTCTGTAAGGTAATGGCACTTGACAAAAAAGTAAAAAGCTGAGAAAATCACTTTCAAAGTTTCTTCTGTACTTTAAATCCCGCTTCTTGAGACTTAAAATTTGCTGACTTTAAAATAGTTGGAGATGGAATTGAGCAAACATATTTTGTGGGGAGATACTCTGGGCTGTGAAGATTCCAAAATTGTAAATGTAGAAAAATTAACCATCTTGTAAGTTTTTGTTATTTAAAAACCCTAGTCCCCCTTAACACGTGGTCATAAGTTTGAGGCTGGTTTGAAGTTTATCTTATGGCCAATAATTGCCCTATGAAGGTTTTTGGCAATGTTTTTATGACCTAATTCCAGTAAATGTGGGGTAATTATTGTACTTATTTTAGTTGTAATTTAAGTATGTGTGAGAACATAAACATCTTGGACAGCAATTTGTTTGGTTGGGTGGAACGAAAATACTGTAACCACAGTTTTGAAAAAGCGTCCCAATGTTTGGAATAGGGGTGTGCGAATACTCAAATATATGAATTCAAATTGAAAAGAAAGTTCCCGAATAATTCGATTCACGAATTGAATTCCTAGTAGTATTCGGTCATTCGAATATTCAATATATTCGGCCAAAGAAACGCGGTCGGCGCGGAGCTGACAAAAGATCAGTTTTTTTCTCCGAATGTTCGCGCCGTGATGTTCGACAAACCATGGGAGAAACACCTCTTGGTCCTACCATTCCACAAAAATCGAACGCACAGGTTAGAAAAAAGAAAAGTATTGAACGCAACAATATTTATAGCACGCAGATTTAATCATGATCGTGACACAATCTAACCTTTAATCACAACCGAAATATCCCGTTTGCGCCACTTCCAGAGAGGAATGGTTGGGAGGCCGGAATTCTGTGCCATGCCTAACCCTTTTCATAAGTAAAGTTTCTCGTTTCAAATTGAAGTGCCGATGTAAAACACTTGCCACACTCACAGAAATCGGCGACTGCACGATCACAAAAAGAAAACCTCTTTCACCATGCCGATGAAACCGGCCGAGTTGCGGTTCCGCAAGCTGCAAATTCTGATTCGGAACGAAACGGAACGGAAAAATAGAGTGTCTAGATATGAGAGAGTTTCCAACCGTTCGATAGCCGCGTTCCCGCGTTTGAATTACGAACTGCGAGAAGGTGACGAAATGACGAAAACACCGACCGGGCAGGTGTCGTCGCTCTTCCGTGTGCTCGCCTTCTTTCCACGCGACTACACAACATATACGCACTTACCACCTATCTACGCAGGAGCCGTCTCCATGGTTTCAGTTTCGCTTGCTCCCTCTTTTAAATCAAGGCTCTCTAAAACGGGTTAGATGGACGGAGGAATGGATGCATAGCGGCAGTTGGACGGTGACTTGCGCCACCTAACCACATGTTTTTATTTTTACTTCAGATTATATTATTTAAGCCTGTTTACTCAGATTTAACAGCTATCTGTTTATTTTTATAAAATAAAATCCCGGGTTACCTTTTTCTCCCTAAAAATTGACAGCAAATATCGCAAAATGCCCCTTTTCTGAGATATATAAATTATAAATATAAAAAAAGGACATGTCGCGGTGTTAGGTCGTGCTTTTAATGAGAAAAAAAAAGCATACATGGCAGTGATGTGATTGCTGCGCCCATTGCGCCAAACTGCGCCAAGGGGCTAACCCTGCTACATCTTGCTACATTTTGCCAAAATATGGCTAATTTGCGCCAAGCCTACGCAAAAGTCCAATTTCGGTCGCCTTTCAAAACCGAAACTAAACTGAGAACCGTAATTGAGCATGCGTGAGCTATAGGTGGCGCAAGCGGCCGGCCGACACAAAGTACCCGGCATCAATCGTCCATCCGGTCTTGCATGGTTTTTGCCGCCGTCTCGCGTTTCGCGCCCTCGCTGCCCTCGTCGTCACAGGAATCTCGTCTCGCGTCTTCTTTTTACATTTTTTGATGTGCGGACACTCCGTCGCTAGTGTGCCGGGTGCCAGCTATGCCATCATGCTGTGAAACAAAACCACGTTTTTGCGCGGCGAGAGTTACTTTGTGAGCTGAAACGCTCGCGCGACCACTCGGTCACCGTGGTCGTGCGACGTCGGGTGTTGCCGTCCCCACGTCGCTGCAGATATGGCGCTTTCTAAACTTGTTCATCGACATTCCTCTTCTTCTGAAAAATCCCTCTTTAACTCAAGGACTGCTCGTCAAAATATTTATTACCTAGATTTCTCTCGGCGCGCCCCGCCACATGAAAAATCTACCGCAAAAAGACGTTGGTGAGGAGAAGTGAGCTGAAGCAAAGAAGGCAATGTCTGCACGCTGAACCCACACAATGCGCTTGTTTGTCTCGAGTTCAGTCCTTGCTCAGAGCGCTCCAAAAAACTTTTGACCCTGGCTCGCGATGTTATGCATTGATGCGCTTAGGTTCTGTTTTTCTTTCTGTTTATCTTGTACCTCGTCTGCCGGCCTGGCAAGCACGCGCCGCTGGACTGTTTTTTTGTTTTTTTTGTCGAATGCTGGACAGTTTTATTTTGCATACTATTTTGGGATCCAGTTGGCGACGGAGCGGAGTGGCATTGTTTCGGTTTCGATTGAACAGCTGTTGTCTCTGCTCGCGCGACGAGGCACGTGCCACTCAAGCTTGCTGAAGTTGACCTCACGTACATGTGAACATGACGGCACGACAGAGCACCAGCCGGGGCGCTTGCAATCCATTGTTTTGCGTTCGCTTACTTTTAACGAAAATCTGGCACGTCGGGAACCAGGAACCAGTAAAATGGTGACGAGCATACTTTTCAGAATCGCTCGGCAACGCCTACAACACTGTACACTTGTGGGATGTCTCGGTAGCAAAACCAGAAACAGCGAGTTCCGTCATAACACAGCACAAAGTGCCCTTCGTTTGTCCAGCACTTAAAACAAATATTTTTATTTTTCTAACAATATTTGCTCCAAAAGCCACTTTTTGTCCTCCGAAACACTGTTTTGGCTGCTCCAAAAGCCACCTTTGCTGCTCTAAAACACTATTCTGGCTGCTCCAGAGGTCACTTTTGCTGCTCCAAAACACTGTTTTGGCTGCTTCAAAAGCTGCTCCAAAATGGCTTAGGCCAATCACATCACTGACATGGCTGTAACTTTAGGTTTTTGGTGACGCTTAGGGTAGATAGATTATGTTTGCACCATAAAACTCGATTTTTGTGCCCAACGTCCATCAACAGCTGCCCTTCTTTTTTTTTTCACCAGAGCTTTTATACATTTGAGGTTTTGTTCGGTATGAGATGCATATTCTGCACCAGGTGCATACTCTGCACATATAATTGTCTCATTTGCAGCACACTTTGAAAAATTCCTACAAATAAAATCACTATTCGATATTCGGCTTTTTTTTCTTGATTCGATTCGGTATTCGATTCGATAACTACTATTTGGTATTCGCACACCCCTAGTTTTGAAACCTGCTTGGTTCCTTCTTCAGTGGTTACTGAATCCCACGGTGAAGCATCATGATGTAGGTATTCCTACTAAACAGTCAATGAACAATGGCGTGCTGGTTACGTTTCACCAATAAACGGAAAGTAACACATTGAATGAAACATCTTTCCTTGTACTTATTTCCTTTTTTTTTGCTTTCTCTTTATTCTCATAAAGGACTGCATCATAAGCATTTTACTAGCTTGAGGATAGTATATGAACTTTTTTAAATTGCCACATATGGTTAATTTAAGGAGAAACCACTGATGATCCATATGAAATAACCTAGTTGGAATGCAGTATGCTGCTGTATAGTTTTATTTGGGAAGAGATATCTTGCATCAAGTTGCATATTGGAAATGTCACCTGAGAAATTATACATTTACATGGTAGATTTGTGAGGATAAACAAGAAAAATAGTTTACAAACCCTTGCCCCTTTATCAGGTTGACACTGAAATCTTTTGTTTTATTGTCTTCCTTTTTTTTTGGTTTCCAGGAGACGACATCAGAAGACAGCTGGTCCAAATTGAGGCGGAGAACAGTGTTGTGAAGGAGGTAATTATGTCGGCTCTTGTGCTATATTGCTTTTTATTTGTTCAACGAAGTGGAAGGAATGTTTTGAGAACACTTGATGAGGAAAGCGACATGGATGGGTGCATACATTGGAGATGCCAGGCCAGTGGTTCTCAAAGAGGGGGGGGGGGGGGGGGGGGGGGGGGGGGGGGGCTCAAGGGAGGCCCTCATTGGGTTCATGTAGTTCCCAAAGGGTTCGTCGACTTGAAAGGGTCTACGGAACACTTTGGAGTCTCCGAGGGATTTTTTAGTGTCCACAATGCCCTTGAACTTGAGTCAAGCCGACCAGTAAACCCTTTTTTATTGATGCCGTCTGTCCCGCAAAGTGAAATAGACCAACCTATGCATGCTGAGGAGTAGGATTAGTTATTCTTTCTTTCGAAGCTTCAAAGTTGGTTTGCCATGCAATTTGTTTCTGTTCATTTACCCCTCTGTTGTTGCAATCATCCAATAAACCCCCCTCTCCCCATGCCATAAGATGGGGTCCCCCATCTCTTTCGCCGGTCCATCTGGAAGGGGTTCCTGAAACCTCAGCAGGTGAGAATCACCGTACTGAGGTTTGATGGTGTGCCATTCTCTATGCAGGCAAACAGGGTCCTCAACATGGACCTCAAGGCCAGGGAGCAGCAGGTGATCCTGCTTGAGAAGAAGCTGTCCAACGCAGAGACCGCAGTCCAAGCCATGAACCTCGAGATCGAAGGCATGGTCCGCCAGAAGAAGGTCCTGGAGAATGCGGTGCGTACCCTTGAGCGGACCAGGAAGACCCGTCCGGCGCTAACGATTTCTGCGTGAAGCAGTCATTACCACTGTCTTTCATCGTTATTTTAGCACTTTTGATTTAGTGGCTCAACCATGTCTGACCAGAGGCAGGCATAGTCCTAGGCACTTATCCTAACATGGAAAGCGTCTAGTGCCGGAGCAGGATTGCAGCTCAGAAACAGAAACTAAACACCAAAAGGCAAGAACAAAGAAAGAAGCACCACACAGGGTCTTTTCCTTCGTCTTTGCCTTTTGGTGTGTTCAGTTTGGGGGTGGACCAACTGGCATAGCTATTTTGTAGGCACGGATGAACAAGTATGTATAGATAAAACAGTGCAGAGAGGGCACAGGGACAAGTGGAAGACGGTTATCACCATTTTATTTATTCGCATTATGGACCGATTCACCCAACAGCACACCTTGCTACAGGGTACTAGTGCTTCTTTGTGTGAAACTTCTAGGCAAGGCCCTCGTAAAACAATCTCCTCAAAAAGAAATATATTTTTGGAATGCTAGTTTTCTTTTTTTTAATTGTAAATATCCTTGCCGATTAATGGCCATCGACTAGATCAGGGGTTGGCAACCCACGGCCCATGGCACAACCCCAGAGAAGCTTCCCACCCCCCCTTGCAAGCTTCCTCACAGATCCAGGAACCACACTTCCATGTGGTTCTTGGGAACAGGAACAAGGAGCACTTCCAATTGGCACTGTCCGGCATCCCCATACTTGGGCAGAAAACGTCTTCACTTCCTTTTTGCCTTTCTTTTGTCTGCCCCGCCCCCCCCCGGTCTTCATGACTTGCCGTCCAGCCACCTTCGTGTCGGCTTGTAGGCCCGCCGCTGCAAAAGGTTGCCGACCCCTGAACTAGACTGTAAACAACTTAATTTTCGCGAGGACCTCATTTTCGTGAATCGCCCACAATTGGCAAAAAATAGGTCCCATAAACATTTGGGAAAAATGTCAACACTTTGGAAGCTACTTTGAGATGCTGTGCGTCCTTTAGCAACAACTGACGACGGGAAGACACATATGCAAAGGTTCTCACATGATCAATACATGTGTTTTATGAATAACATAAGTATGCAAACCATTTGAAATAAAATATTCATCAAGCCGGAATTTATGATCACCTCAATTCACGGTCACGGCAAGTTCTATACTTCGATTCGTGAAAATTAGAACCCGTAAATAATTCAAAATTTTCAGCTTTCGCCCCATTTGCGACAATTTGAGCCCGCGAAAATTAAGTCGTTTACAGTATTTAGAGGTTTCAAAATAGTTTGTTTAATGGGTACCGTATTTACACAATTGTAAGTCGACCTCCCCACATTACACATCAGCGAAAAAAAAAAAAATTTTAGATGCGCATTTTACTGCAAACACGTGAGAACAGCAAAGTATCTGTTTCGAAAGCCCAGCCTCCAACACGCGACCTATGCCTTCTTGCGTGCTTTGGCTGTGCATGCATGCACAAGGTGAATGAGATGCCCAGGCATTATCGAAACTAGGAAGTTCACGCTGGAGGCGGGACAACTGAAGCTGCTCCATGTTCTCACTCTGTCCGTGACTAGACTACCACTCGTCCGTGACTAGACTACCACTCGTCCGAACTGGGGATGTCAGTCTGATTGTCATCACTGCTACGTTCTTGAAGCACGTCATCAGCGTCGTCCAACGAAATCTCCCACTTTGAAAATGACCGCATCCTCCGTGCTTGCTTGGTGATCGCGTTGCACGTCACGGCTAGGGACCGATTGCGCACTTTTGCGGCATACGTTGCAAGCCTTTGGGCCGTGGAAGCCTCTTCGTTTGCCGTCACACTTTAAGATCCCGTGCCATTGCAGACTCTACTGGAGCATCACCTACTCCGACGGGTCGAACTTGCGTCCAACAGCGCAGTTGTTGGCTGTTTCTGGGTGAAGAACGGCCATAAACGAGCACCGAAAACCTAAACTGCCCAGATCACATGTGTCAATACAAAGGAAAAAAAAAAAACATAGTTAGCACTCCAGCATGATTGCGACACTCGATCGGACGACGTGCGACCGTGAATTACGCGAAAAACTGCGAAAAGACGCCGCGGGGAGGGAGCGCTGAGCGAGTGAGCTGTGTAAGCCACTCCGGAGGCTGTTCCAGCAGCCTCCGGAGTGGCTCTTACAAGAAGTGCGGCCACCCCCGGCAGTCGGGCACGCGGTGCGCTGTCCACCACTATACATTTGGGTTAATTTGCGAATCGCTATCAATAATAATCGTTCGCGCAAATTTAAAAAAAAAAAAAATTCGTAAATTGAGCATGCAGATTAGCGTAATGCTGGAGGCACAGCTGGCTGAACTCGTAACAAGCAGAGGTGCTCTTGATATTGCGATTGTTTCGTTTTTGTCGGAGTGCTTTGGTTTGATTATAATTTGAGCCCCCCCACTTCAGATTTTCAAAAATTGAAAAATAGGTCGGCTTGTAGCGGGTTCAGGCTGATCCGCTAGAAGAACCACTGGCTCTACATTTCACCGACCATAAAGTAGTAATAATGAAGTCGAAACGCAACCCGGAACTCAGCACTGCCTATGAACAATAAAATCAGTATCATCATCACCACCAGAGCTTCGCTCCAACCAACATCATTCACCACATGGAGATGCAGCCTCTTTTTTTTCTTTTTTGTTTCTTTTTCTATCTCAGCGGCACGCCGCCGACAGTACCCGGGGGGAGGGGGGGGGGGGGGGAAGGGGGCAATAAACAGACGTGACAAACCAAAAAAAAAAGAAAAAAAAAAGCTTACACGTTTCCCCTTTCTCCCCCCGTAATGTCCACCCCTCAGAAAGTCCTGGGGAGAACCCTTGTGACAGACAAAGGATGCAGTAAAGCTCTGCCTGCAGCACAGGCTCGTTGCCTCCTGCCTGGCTTTGGCTGTGGATGCACCGAATGGTTATCAAAGGCAGAAAGCCCGCACTGGAAGCAGAGCACCAACTGCACTCTCGACCTGCCATCGACCATGGCGTGCCTCTGTTGCGTCCTCTTTTCTAAATGTGGTGTATGTATGCTGGCTGCCGTTTCTGCAGCTCGAAGAGAAGAGGCTGCAGCTCAACAAGGGAGCCATGGAAAAGGTGCAGATGCGCAGCTGGATGGAGGAACGCATCGCCTTTGAGCGGGAGAAAATGAAGCGTGCCATGGTAAGGTCAAAGTTGTTCTCCTCTCCCGTTTCATTAAATTTTTTGTGTACGGGGAGGGGAGGAAATAAGAGGGTGCCTGCAGAGTCGAGCATTCAGCGTTTGAACGCCACACCCAGTGCGAAAGGCAGACAGCGCCCTTGTTGCTTCAGATGGGTGGTAGATGGCGGTTAGAGGCAAAGGAAGCTAGCCTTCGCATCTACCCACTCATCCTTCCAGTCGGAGCTTGGCGCTCTGACAAGACCACACGCTCTCGCCTCCTCCTCTCCTCAGTTTTTCACCATATTGCATTTTCACATAGGGTGAAAAGGTGTAAACGGGCACCCCTCAAAAGGCCGGGGTTTCGGGATTCCGTTGGCTGCTGCCTGAAAGATGTAGCCATTAACATCTACCTTGACAGTCTGGATTTCCCATTGGCTGTTGGCACTTAGATGCAGCCAATAAGAAACTGAAACCTCACCAGTGCACTGAAATTGGGGTGGTATTTTGTGCTTTGGGATGATTCCCAGCAAGTTTCTAATTAAGACCGTGCATTTCTCTTTGCTAATGAAAGGGAAGTATTAAGTATATTCAAAATCCTTTATCCTAAATTTTATGCACCCCTTCAATAGGCTGCTTGGCCTATCTTCTGGGCCATGCATAGTTTGTGCAGGAAAACTTTTATTGACATTTCGTGAAACACTGTACCACAAGATACCAGGAAACATCCATGCATGCTTCAACTATTACTATCAACCAGTTCAAAGCTTTACCAGTTTTGAAGATTGCAAAAGGTACAGTAATCCCTCGTTATAACGAAATCAAAGGGACGGCAAAAAAATTCAACATAAGCAGTACTACCGTATTTACCCGAAAATAGGTCGACCACGAAAATAGGTCGACCCCTATTTATTGAGCCCACCGAGAATAAAAAAAAAAAAATTCAAATATAGGTCGACCTTTCTTTTTTTTTTAACGAACAGGGGAAAGTTAGGGCAAAAGAAACAAACCTTTATTTAATTTACAGCACTCTCAGCTAAATCACAGGGTGATGTCAAAAAAGCTTCGTCAGCTTGGTAGACATCCTCGCAAATCGGCAACAATACCTCACTGACACCGTTGTAAAATGGATGACGACAAGAAGAAACGAAAAAAGGTGGAGACGGGCGAGCGACGAAAGATCAAACACAAAGATACGAGCAACGCTGCGAGCCCCGTGAATAACACGCGACCCGCCGAAAAAAACAAATTAAAGTAGCTCCGTTTTTCTTTTTTTTTTTTTTGTTTGTTTGTTTGTTTGTTTTTGTTTGCGCGTTTACGCGGGAGAGAGGAATGGAGCGCATAGGAGGGCAAAGTGCATGGCGCATCGCGTTTTTCTCCCTCCCCTTCCCCCTTGCCCAGCGAGGGGAACGCTACAGGCGTGATGGCGAAACTCGACGCCCGAGGAATGTGCGCGAGAGCCATAGCAGACACGGGCTGTCGGCTGCTGCTGTTCGGCTGTTTTTGTGCATCAAAAGCTTTTTTGAAACAAGAAGCCGCGCGGCTCTACCGCAACGCCGGCTAGGTGATTGATAGCTCCATACCCTCGGTAGGGTTTCAAATTTTGGTTGCGAATTAGGTCGAAATTCTTTGGTCACGATTATAGGTCGACCCTTAAGTTTTGACAACATTTCCGACAAAAAAAGGTCGACCTATATTCGAATAAATACGGTAATTCAATAAAAGCGATAGAGCCGAAAAAACAGTGGCAGCAGCCTTGAAGGCAGATGGGAACACTATGGTACACTCCGACCGTATATTTAACCAAACAAACCTTGGCTATGAACATCTCGCAGCAGCTTTATCGAGGAAAAAAATAATTAAGTGGAGTTTGCCAATCATTTCATCCGGGCATCTGTTCTCTTCGAACTGTTCCAGGCATAGCAAGAACACAGTCACCGCTGGTGCACTCGACTTTGTGTCGAAGTAGCCCTATGATGTTTCGCGTCTCCGCAGTCATTAGCGTTTCCTAAGGTGCCTCTCCGACGTCGCTTCATGTTTACTTTGGCTGCATGCAAGGTCTATGATCGTAGCATCCGTGGGAGGAGCAACAGCATGAATGTCAGCATCGACAGGCACAAACAAATCAAAGTTATCCTCCGTGGCTTTGCTAACATGTTTTCACACACTCCTGTAGAGATTGTTGCAGCTCCGGGAGGCGTGCGCCGGCTTGGCAAGCATGCTCGCAAGAGTAAATCCGACGGTCGCAAAGCGGTTGGTGATCTTTCGTCTTCAGGTCGCAGGTGTGCTTTCTCTTGCATGAAAAACTTCTCGAACCTGTCCAATACCTTGCTTGTTCTGCAAAATTGTGGACAGTGTCAAACAGCCGATCCTGGAATTTCAAATTCTATGGCGATATCGGACTTAGGCCGACCACTTTTCTCAACCTCGCAGATCTAAGCAATTTACAATAAACACTCCAAATTTCCCATACAAAGCAAGTGTGCGTGTAGTACGCTGCAGGCACGCGCATTGTGGGCTCCCAGAGATATGATCTCCTCTGGGCTCCATTGCTCCCTTAACCCCGTCCCAGCAGGAGTGGGGCAGCATTGGCTGCGGGTGCCGTGAGTAGTGTCAGGACATGGACACTGTACCGCTGCTTCCGGCCGGCGTACCCACGTCGGCGCATTGGCATTGGAAGCGGCGCTCTGCCTGCCGCCACCCATTTCCTACTCCATTTTCTTGTTTGCTGTTTTCCTAGTTTGCCGTTTGCCTCGGCGGAGAAGGGGGAGGGAGCGCGAGGGTTTCCGTGCACCCCCGTTAAGGCTTGCATGCTTTCGGCACTGCAGCCTTCGTAATAAGCATGGTCGACCATCAATACACTTAGACTACATCATTGTGTCTTACAATACACAATGATGTACCAACTAGCCCATTTATTTATTTTACTACGCTTAGACTAATTCGGTGAATAATTTGTGCATTTCGATCGGGACCACGTTGAACTTCGATAAAAGCGATAACTCGAACGAAGCGATTTCGTTCAAACGAGGGATTACTGTACATATCTGGTGCCCGCTTCTCCAGAAGCGCTATCGTCGGCCGGAACATTCCCGGGTTTTTCCAGACAGGAGTCTACAAGCCACAACAAACAAGAAGAATTGGCTACCTGTTTTTTTGCACAGCCTGTCTGCAAAATATGGAAAAGTCACTCGTTTAACAAAATGAGAAAAAGACAACAAACATCCTTTATGTGTGTCGCACAACTGCCAAGGACATACCTGCCAACTCTCCCGAATTGTCTGGGAACCTCCCGAATTTCGTACATCTCCCGATTGTACAAACATGACCTCAAATCTCCCAAAAAAATGGCTGCCGTAGGTGTTTTTTTTTTTTTTTTTTTTTGCTTTTTGTTGCTATAATTACAGTAGACTCTCATTAGTTCAAACTCCAGGAAGTTGCAGATTTTAGTTTGAATTATCAGAAATTCATCTAAATATGATGATAGACAACATTACGATTTTTGAACGTTTCCTCTACATAGGCCTAATTATAAGCAAATACAGGCATAACACAATGGTGAAAGAACTGTGACGTTAAGTTTATTCATCCGGCATAAAAGTTGTCGATTGTGGACTGTTCAGACAGCACATACGATCTCAAAACAAAATTTTCAATTACAGCCAACGCAGGTAGCTCTTTCTTTTGCAGACAGAAATTTTCCGGAGCTGAGCGATGTGCTCAAAGGCCTCTGCGGCTGTGACAGTTGGTAGTGGGTCATCCCCTTCTTCATCGTCATCTTCACTGTCACTGCTGCACTGTGCTGGCATTACTTCCTGTACTATGTCCTCTAATGAGTCATCACGACACACACATCGTCGTCAAGACTAGCATATTCCGTCAGCTCGGCATTCACATTGTGCTTCAAGGCCAGAAAGCATGATGCCAGTGAGCTGTTCCTCATCCTCGACGTCGTCTTGGTCATCATTGCTAGTCTTGAAGCACATAACATGAACACCGTTTTCCACTAAGGTGTGCCTGCTTGAGCCCCGTTGAGTGCACTTCTTTCTGAGCACCGGTGCACTGCGGAGAAACAACACTCGCGAAAGCAAGCTCCGCGGGTATTGCTTCTTTCCGGTGCACCGGTGCTCGGAAAGAAGCGCACTCAACGGGGCCGCGAGAACAAAAGAGTATGAATTAAGCGAAAACGCCGTTTGAATTAAGTGGCTTATAAATACATTAAAAGCATAGCGGGACAACCAAAATTTTCAAATCTGTTTGAATTAAACGGAAGTACGAAATATCCGAGTTGGAATTATCGCGAGCCTACTGTATCACGTGCATGTCAGTGCGAGTCACTGGAAATTTAGGTTACTCTAGCGGGTTACCATGTGACAATTGAGACGAGCAGCGTAAAAGGAGGGTAGATTTTCAAACACCAAGGACCAAGGTACGAAACCTCTTCTCTGGAGTAAGTTCCAGCACATTTTGGAACACGACTTATATGATCGTGGGTGTGCTAGGCTCCAGTTTGTCAGGTCGTCGAGTGAAGTGCGGAACGCCGAACGACTGTTTCCTCAGGTTTAGTTGGAACGATTGATGGCGGTTTCAAAAGCCAAGAAGAAGTACTTGCAAGTACTTTTGAGATCATACACAACTGAGTTTCCGTGCTGTGTCACCTCGCAGAAATTTGACAAGTATGGATTCTGTATTACGTGTGCCTATGATGTGGGCGTTTCGCACGGCGGCAAAGCCAACATCAAGATACGCATTGTTTCACAAAGGCATCAGAACTATGTTTGTGCCGCAGAAGGGAGGGGCACCATCAGCAGTTTACTCCAAAACAACTGCGAAAGACAGTATGATCTGCGCAGAGTGCCTCCTCACACAATTTCTTGTCAAACGAAAAAAACAAATTTACCTCCCCCCCCCTTTTTGTGCGGCGATCTCCCAAATTTTTATGTTGCTAGGTTAGCAGGTATGCAAGCACGTTGCTTGGGGTTATGCAACGATTTTCTTTTTTAACTTTTGGTAGGCTCACTTTC